TGGTTACTAATGAATGATACCACAAAGAGGAAAAAAAAATTATCAATAGCCGAAAACTACAAAATTGAAAAAGTGAAAATCATATTTCCCTGGTAAAAATTGGCGATAGGAGCTGCGTTTCAAAATACCATGGGAGTTCTTATAGCCGACTAAAGAAGGCTAGGTATTGAAAATCATATAGCTGACTGTAGAAGGAGGAGCAAATCATACAGCCGGGCTATACGAAGCTATAAAAAAGTATACAGTCGGGCTATAGTTCCTATCGCCATTGGCTATAAAAGGCTAAAAGAAATTGTGTAGAAATTCGTGTGCTTTGGAAACCATTACTCAAGTTTGATACGGAACTAACTTAATATTTACAATACACACATTATATTTTCCTTTAAAACATTTTTTTTTCATCAATTAAAATGAGAATAGTTCATACAGAGTGTGCAAACACTTCAAAATCATGAGTTGAAAAACGCTGACTCTGCGAGATTAAATATTAGAGCCTAACACAAAGCGGAGCGGCGACGCACTGGCGCCTACAAACCTAAGAGGGATACTTCACGCATTGCGCAATGCGGGAAGTATCCCTGTTAGGTTTGTAGGCGCCAATGCGCGTTTCGCGCTCTGCCTGCCCGCCGCGCCGCGCCGCAGCGTGCCACGGCGTCTGAAGCAACTATTTCACACCAGAGGTATTGCACAGTATCATAAGAAATTGAAGGCGCTCCAACATATTAAGAATAACAGGCATCCTTCAAAAGTACGGAGCTTTCCCCGCAAAATAAATCAAGATACTACGGCTCAAAAAGAGAGCGGTAGTCCAAAAACTAACTAAGTCTTAGTATCCGTAATTAGTAACGTTTAACATAAACTTTATCGTCTGGCTGTTGCTTAATCGCCATCGGCTTTATAAGACTATAAAAAATCGCACAGCCGGCTACAGAAGCCATTGGAAATCTTACAGCCGGCTTTAGGTCTATAGTATTTTGGAACACACATTCTACTGCCAATTTTTACCAGGGTTATCGATGACCAAAGTGCGAAACCACGTATCTCCATTTGCGACGTTGCAGATTTCCTGCCATACTTTATTTTTTCTTCGGAGAACTAGTCGATGTAATTTCTAGAAAGCCTCCTTGATTTTCCTTCTATGTAAGCAGAGTCTTCTGAAATTTTCAAGCATTGAATTTGGCTTGTTCCTCTTCGACAGAAAAAGTTGAAGCGGATATTTGGAACACTGAGATGGAGATACGCGGTTTCGTACTTAAGCCATCAATATGGGCAAAAGTTCGCAATGTCGCAATTTAAGATGCAAATTTCTTGACATGAGTCATTGACTTCTCTCCAATCTATTTTTACCTCAGAGGTGACTTTTTACCAGTTTCCTCGTGAAAAAGAAGCTTTTTATAAACTTCATCGTTTGACTTCATGACACTCATTACGTTGCACCCTTATCCTCTATCCCCTCCTCACTCACGGTTTATCAATGCAATACGGACGCGACCTATTCTTGCTTGCTAAGCAAATAAACGTAACGGTCTCTCATGACTATGCACTTATTTCATTCTCACATTGTATCAACGTCAACAGGTGTATGCGCGTGCCGGCCGTCGCGACTGCAATGACCACATGACCCGATAAAAACTTATATGGAACTCACCCCCCCCCCCCNCGACGCTTCTGAAATATTGTGTAATTGATTTGCTGTAGTGTAAATTTTCAATATTTTAGTAAGTGAGGAGGAATGCATACCCCTGTGAAACTACGAAAGCGAGTATTTTGGTTTGTGACGGGGCGCAGATCTCCCGTCTCAATTTAGGTATTCTTTAAATGGAAAATTAGGCGACGTCAATTTCTTGAAAACTTTCCTGATTTTTCTTCTCTTTGTGAGTCTGCTTTAAAATCCGTGGTCCTAGTTGTAGACGGATAAAGTAAGAATCTCCTACTCTGCTTCTATTTTATTTTTTCTAAGGAAAACAAGCCAACTTTACAACCCGCGAAATCTACACAGAGTTTCCCAATAGCAGAGAAGAAAAATCAGGGAATTTTTAGAAAATAAAGTAATAATTAAATATATTTATGATGGGATGTCTGCAACGTTGCAAACGGAGATACATGGTTTTGCGTTTTGGCCATCGACATATGTTTAAAAAAGAAGATATTCCTGGTACCAGTGAGATCTTCACTAAAAAAAAAAATCTCGGTGTATTTACTAAAAAGGGTAAAATTACCAAGAATTCAGGGTTCTATTTGATCCCAATTTTTTCTTAGTAAAATTACCATTTATGGAATTGGTAATTTTACTAAACCTTGGTAAAAACGCCAATATTTCTTATCGACTGTGGTAGAATTACCGAGATAAAATGGCAAAGTTACCGGGAATTGATTAACAATAAAAGTGGTAGTCTTACCTGAAAAAAAAATAGTAAAAATACCGGTTTTTAGGTAAGTTTACCAGTCTTTCTTGGTAAAATTACCAATAATTGGTAAAAAAAAGTGAGATGGTAAAGGTACCAACGGACCTTGGTAAAAACGCCGAGAATTTTTTTCAGTGTTGACATCTATCAGACTGATTCTCTCAAAATTTTTTCTCGAGTGTATTGCGATGCGTTTGAGGATTCGCCAAAGATCAGATTCGAGTCTTTGAACTTCCTCGATTTTTTTTTAAAAAAAAACAAGAAAGATTTCGCTTACATATGATAAGCTGCAGTCCGATTTTCTCTTTATTGCTTTGTGCGGTCATTTTCTACCAGCCCCCGCCTCGGATCCCGACAAAGTCGCAAACATTTTTCGGGTCACCATTGGCGGATCCAGCAAACTGGCAACATTGTCTTTGCTCCATTTGAACCTATGGAAATATATCGATTCTTAGAGGGGCTAGTCGCCCCGACAATAATCGATTTTTAGCATAGGTTTAAATGGAGGAAATCCAGTGTTGCCAAATTGCTGGATCCGCCTCTGCGGGTCACCTTCCGATATTTTTGGGGCCACGTGATATCCACGGGCAGCTTCAATAAGTGGTTCACGTTTTCGACCGATCCTATTTTCAAGGAAGGGATTCTTCTGGTTTGACTTTACAAAATTTAAGTGTGTGTGTTTCTGAGGACGGTTTGAAAACACAAATACATAGATAAAGATAAACTTGAGAAGAAATAAGTCTTGATTTTCGTCAACGCCTTACCTAGGATTTTATACGAAAGCTTTAGGTCGGCTCCCTTTAAATACTTCATCATTGATTTCATTTTTTTCAAGATCTTGGTCCACTGCTGCTGTGCTAACGAAGAATGCTGTATGAACATTCAAGAGCTGCCAAATTTCTTTCGATAAAATGTTCATTTTCGAGGGAAGTTATAAATATTTTTATTTGAAATTTTCAGGAGCTTTACGTGAAATTACAAACATTATACAAAATTACATTATACAAAAATTAGCCGGAAAATTGAAAGAAAAATATTCTTAAGTTTACTTAGAAATTTGCGTTTTATCGGAGGAAATTTGGCAACGCCAAAGGGTTCGCACGGCGTTTTCCCTTAGCACAGCAGACTCCGATTCGATCATCCTGAATCAATCAGTAAAGTAAGACACATTTTCTACAAGATATTTTGGTCCCGCCGCACCGAGCTCTGAATTAACCGTAAGTTGATTTACATTTCTGACAGGACTTTTTTGCGACGATTCAGCGAAAAATACAAATAAATACAAATATGTTGAGATGGGCGATTTTTCCTAATGTGACAATGGAACGATTTTCCGGCATTCGTTAATCTCCAGGTCAGAGAAGGTAAGGGCCGTAGCCCGTAAGTTAGGACGGCAACGTTGTTTTATATTTAAAAAATCAAACCATTTTTTCGGAAAATTGACAATAACGCGATAAAAACTAGGGATAGTTTACTTCATCGGTGCAATAGGCAACGCTGGAATTAAGTTACGATGCAAGGTAAACAAGCAAAGCGCTTTTAGTTAGTACGGAGTGCGACGAACTTTCATTTTAACTCCTGGATGCAACTATTCGAGCTCCATGGATGTCCGTGTTGCATATGCACGATAGTGAAGGCGTTTTGACAGCGGGCCATCATCGTGACACGTGCGGCGCGACGCAAATGGCGGGATTTCCCGCGAGGATCCACGGTGATCGTAACACACACGCACACAAAAAAAGATCGTATGATGGTTTGGAATTCTCTGGATGTATTCTGCAGAGGCTGAAGATAGTCATTAGAATTTCAAAATGTGATTTCTACTAGATTTTCTTCGCCCTGAAAAATTTAAAATGCGATGAGAGACCAGACCTGCATTTTTACAAATTGTAAGGCCACCGATGAACAAAAGGGAAAAAACTAAATTGTTGATTTAATAATTTTGTGGTTAAAAAAAGCGTCCGACATGTTTCAATGTATAGATTTTACATATACAATACAAAAAAGATGCTTTTTTCAGCCCCGTAGTCGCAAGTCATCAATCACGTTTAATGCACCTACACGTCGGTGGATCCACAAAAACACACACATCTCAATTTTCAGTGTTCCAAAATTTCCATTGACGCATTACTTTTAGTATTTATTTTTGTTCTTTACCTCTGTTTGTTTGAAAAAAAAAAAGAAAAAGAAAGAAAAAAAGAGCCAACTCGCTGAGAGTTATCGAATAGAGCAGGTAAATTACGAATCACTCCAGAAATAACAATACATAATTTTTTTTTATAAACATTATTTGCGACGGAAATATTCAACGTCGCAAATAAAGATAATGTATCTCTTCAGTTTCATCGTCTGAGAATTAACTTTTGCATTTTAAGCGCCGGTAGTAACTATAGTACTTAAGTAGTCACATACATTATAAACAGAGAAAGAAGCGATGGAATCCTTGATGCAGCTGATGCAAGTTCAAGAGCTCTGCTGTAGTGCATACTGCGTTCAAAGGTCAATGCTCAGCACAAAGGTCGCTCCCTTTCTTGGTCTCGTCGCAGTTCACCTCACTGACACTCGCCGATTCCTGCATTGTTGTGTAGAACGCTGCTAGTGTGTGAGCTCAGTTAAAAATCATACAGCTGATATTCATTTTAACATATAGATTGAAAAAATAAATCACTTACCAAAGTAATTACTTATTAATTTAATACGACTCGATAAGACACCCCCCTCCCTCCTGCAAAGGCCGTGATTGCATTTGGTGACGTCGCGCTGGAACGAGACATGAAGCCCCCCTTTATCCGCCATTTTGAAAACATGAGAGCATCGTCCCTGCCTTCGCCTTGCACACGGAACCAGTTCATAACCGTTGTTTAGTTCATTTTCACTCGTCCTAGTTGTATATATCCGAGTGCATCAATTATATTTTCTTTTCTAATAATTCGGGAAAAACTTACAATTTTAGTTGTACATTACTGTGCGGAGTGATAGTGGAACTCTTGGTCAGTGAAGTGACTCGGTTGTCCCGATTTCACACCTTCGGATTTCGTCGCCATCCACATCCTACTTTTTTCATATGTGTGTTAAATTTGTGAATAAAGTTACCCCTCAATTGACTTAGAGCGAACTAATGTGTGTGTTTTCTTAATCGTACATTTTGGATTACTTTTCTTCCTGCTGGTAAGTACACCACCGTCAATTTTCATCTTGATTTACGCTTATCTGTTTTGGTAGGATTTCTAGGTTAAGTATGAGCAGCTAGAATATTTTTCTGCGAGGCATCAAACCTATTTAGATTGCCAATTTTGGCTATTATATCTTTAACAATGGGCCAAAAGATACTTAGTATGTTCCCGTAGTATTTGCCATAGTCCTCTTAATTTTCTATCACCTTTACGCCACTCACCATATTCCCAGTCAACTCCACCCGTTCTCCTTATTTGTATTCGACATACCTCCCAGGTAGGGGTGAGTTAGCCAGAAGTAATAACCACCCTAACAGGAGCATCCATTACTATTTTAAATTATGGGGACGTATAAGCGCTTGAATTGTAATGAACTTTCACCATGAGATAAATTGTATTGACTTGGGAAAAGTAGCCTCAAGCTGCACTGATTGATAGAGACGATTATTTAAGGCCTCTGATTTGCCCTTCTCTCCATTTTTGGCCGGGACCTAATTCATTCTATTCAATAATCACTTCTGATAATGCGAAACGGAAGCATGGTAATCTTGCTGCGGTAGATCTTCACAATTTGCAAGAGTCTACCAGCATACGTGCTGGCAGCCATCATGTTGTTGCTAGATTGTCAATCTTCTTTATACATTTTATTCTGTTTAGTTGCCATTAAGTCAACACTAAAATATAGGGGGTTTTATCCATTTCGTATTACTTGAGATGATCCTTTATCATTTTCTCAAGTGTTAAAATTTTACCTAAGATCACTATGCTAGAGCTTGCGTATTGTATGTTGTGACAAACGTCAAAGTATTGTTCATGTCATCACTCATCATTGGTGCTATCTGACTTTATGTGTTCACCTGTTGAGTGATACTAACTCAGAGCTAATCAGAGATTGACTTTTGTCTCAACATACGATAGATACATGAGCTCCACACGCACTTAAATGTAAATGCACTGTAGATTTCAAGGAAAGGACTGAAACTATGATCTTAGACCCTCTAAGTAGATTTTTCATTCATGGTTACACGGTGAAAGTTATTAGGCATCTATGAAAAATGTTTTTGTAAAGAATTAGCCTCAACTACAAAAGATATTATTTTTCTGTAGCCAAGTACTTATTTTTCATTTTTCTTAAATGACATGGAGTAAAGTATCCCTGAAGTCTGAGGAGTTTTTCGGATTATTATGTGTCTTAATTAAGGAAGGCCTTCTTTCTGTCGCTAAGTTGGTATTATTTTGCATGACTCCTACCAAATAAAATTTTCCGCGAGAGAAGAAAATTTATTCAAAATATAGCCATTGCCCAAATTAAATTTTAAGCAAAGATTATTCAGCATTAATGCATTTAAAGTTATGAGGTAGGATTGCAGCAAAATAGTTTGCCTCTTTTTAGTGAGGTTTAGATATTCTGCAAGGAATTATTACCTAGTTTATACCAATAATGAAAACATTACCTCAGTATCTCTTTAAGCAAGGAAACACGTACAGTTTGGTGTCTAGTTCTCAATTTTTATATTGGAGATAATTGAAACCGCAAGTCATAGAGATGTTTTTGTTCATCAATGAGTTGTGTCCGTGAGGAATTTGTCTTTCGAGCTTTTGTTCACTTTTTATGACAATTAAGATTTACTCTCAAGTCAGTTACTTTTGAAAAAACAATCGTTGATCCTCAGAAGTCTATCAGCAGATGACAGCTCACTTCTCTGATGATGATCAGAAGGCTTATTTTTATTATTATTTTTCCTTCTTTTTTAAATTTTTCTCTTATTCTTTCACTTAGGTACTTAAGTATTCTTCATTTTTATTTTAATTTTTTTTCACCAAGTGGTAAATGAGTAGAGGAGAGCTCTCTGATTTTTTTAAAATTTTGGTGCAACACATTCTCTTGACTTCTTTGTGGCAGGAGGAGATTTGAACAAAGTTTCAACTTCTGTCAAAAAAAGTGGTGTATTGATGTCCTATGGAGGTTACTGACCTCTCATGTTCATCCATCTGAGCATTATCTGTTTCATTATACAGTAGATATCGGTTAATACGACATCGGTTAATACGACATATCGGCTAATACGACGGATTTCGTTTTCCCCGGCGAAACTCCATAAGTTAATACGACATATCGGCTAATACGACGAAACCCCGTGACCCCTTGAATGTCGTATTAACCGATATCCACTGTACTTCATAGTTCATTGTCCACATTTTGTTGTGCAAGTCCTAGTTCAAAACTGTATTCTATGATTTTAGCACAGTTTCTGAGCGAAGTAATTAAATCTTATTTCATACCAAGTTTTAGTGTTTTATCCAAAGAAAAAAAAAACAAATTTCTCTCTCTCTTTCTCTCAGGATTTTTTTATTCACCGTCATAGTAGGTAAAAGCAACTGGTCTAGTAAAAAGGAGTACTTGAGTTATTGGATGTGCTTTTACTATTATATTTAAGGTTAAATGATGAGATCATCTCCTGTTGAAAAATGCAAAATCTTGATTTTTGTCCTTACCATCAATCTAGACGTATTCATTATTAAAGCAACGATCAAGGACCGTTTTTAAATTAGAAGATATTTTGGCTACGATATGGTCTGTTACTCTTACTCCAAATACAAAATCAAAACTCTTTAAAGCATGTTGATTTTAGGTTCTAGTCTTCCCTCTTTTTCTGGATTAGGTATTTTAATCAATATTTAGTGTAACACATCACGAAGTCCTGTAGTATTTTGTCTTTCAGTCCTTGTGTAATTTTTAAGTAATCATCACTTTTCCAGTGGATCCAGTCTCAGCTAAGTTTACTTTTTTCATCTGCTCTGAACACCGTAATTTTCATAAGCAGCTGAATAAAGCAATCCCATCTAAAACAGTCTACTGATCAACTTTTCTTATTTTTCTCTCAGAAAATTAAGAGGGCTGCACAGAAGATCTATTATTATTATTTTTTTTCCCCCGTTTTTTAGATGACCCTCAGGGGCACATACTGCACTTAATCCCCTGATTCCTTCATACCCAGCTTCATGTGAAAGAGGGGTCTGGAAAATGCAGGAGCTGGGGAGTGTTCTCTACTGCTTTTTTGTAAAAGCAGTCGAGGACAAGAATTTTTTAGTAAAAAAAAGCAAAAGTCATATACTTAGCGCATTTAATTTCAGAGGAAAAAATTCAAAATTCTTTCGCATATCAGTTTTTGTGAAGAAAACTGTTAAACGCTTCGGTCTTTGTTAAAAAAAAGTGTCCGGTGTATACTTTATGTGGACTAAATCCTCCAGTGCACTGGCTTTTTTCACGAAGAAACTGTTAAGCATGTTCTTTGACTCAGCCCATTCATATAATGGGCATTTCACGTCAAAGCTTAAAACTCTCTGGACCCCTGATGTGACCCTTGTGTCAAACCATCAAAATTGGGTCACCTGGCCAGGAATGGAACTCTGGACCTCCTAATCATATGGCCAGCCCTATAGCCTCTACCACCAGGGGTCAGCCTTCCGTGGGGTAATTAAGACACAATCTTTCTCTTTCTCTCTAATCACTTGAATCTGATCAGCATGCTACCAAACAGATGATACTTATAGATACTTCAGAACTTATCACCTCCATGGCAGTAATCAATGGCAGTGTCAGCAGTGTAAACAAAATCGACTGAGTTGAGTTGAACTTTCTTATTATTTTTTGAAAATCATTTTTCCTCCTGTAATATAGCTGTTTTTGTTTGGCTATGGAAAATTAATTGTTTCTTTTCCAGTTCAAATCATTGTTGATTAACTAGTGAAGTCATGAAAAATTATTCTTGAGGATACCTATTTTATTTTCTATTTATGTTTCAGATTCCAAATTCAATTGAGATGGAGATTGATTTGGACAATGGGATGAACCCATTATACGCTCAAAGGTTGAGGAAGCAGCAATGTTTCGCCCTAGCAATGAAATCTGCCGAAGCTAAAATCCTCGGCAAAACTAATGAAAACCAAATGATCATTGATGACAATGATGAAGAAAAGAAAAAGTCAGTTTTTGCTGACGGTATGAAGACTGAAGAAAAAATGGAAGAATGTCCCATGGTGGGCCCCATTGTGGACGACGAAGAGGCAATGGAAGAAAATTGTGTGAACAATGGACAGAGAACGCCTCAAAATTATGATTCTCAAGATGAATTTGAGGAATCTTCGCCTTTCAAAAATCTGCAAGCTATTTTTGTAAGTGTGAACATTTCAGTATTTCTTTTTTTTCTCTATCTTTCTTAAAAACAACATAGACAAACGATTTTGCCACCTAAGTCCAGGAAGTAAAATATTGTTTCTTATATTTATATAGCCGATCACATGAAAATTTATTTTCACAGCTTTATTGAATGGAAAGAAACATTTTACTTTTTCTACGGACACCATTTTTGGTGCTGTGTATCAAAAGTTGTAAGACAGGAGACAACAGCAGTAGAACAAGGTTTAATGTACCACTAATTTATGGTAACTTTCCAACAAGTGCGTGCATACTTAAGGAGAAAATATTTTTTTATCCTGTTTTTGAAATTTTCAACTGTCCACCAAACATTGTCCTATTTTTTGTGAGTGTGTCGGGATAGGATCAGATATTTAAGAACATTAAATCAAAGAACTCAGTCCCACTATCACTGCTGGATGCTCAGAAACGACAAACGGATGAAGAAGTAAGCAAGAAAAGTTTCAGTTTTCTAAGGTTGGGGATTCTCATTTTATTATCTAATAATGAAAATGTTGAATGGCAATGTGTGAAACAGGTATGATGAAGCTGTCCAAAGGGAAAGAGAGATCATTTACAGTGGACTCAAATTATTTTGGATACATTTCTTCTCTTAGTCTTGATCAGTGAGAGCAAATTTCTGGTCTTTTTTTGTTGATAAAAGCACATTTATCTCTTTTATTTTCAGAGGTCACCATCTACACCTGTCAAAGGAACGAATACACCCGTGTATGCTGATCGTTTCATTCCGTCAAGACTTAATAATAATTGGCAAACTCGCTTTGCAATGATACCAGTAAGTTTTCCATTTTTTTGCCCACCTTAAGTTAATTTATCTGTGCTTTTTTGCATCATCAGTTCCCTAACACTAACTAAAACATTCTCTTTGGATCAAGAGATGATATGCTAATTGTGACTATGTAAAGGATACAGTGCAAAGAAAAAAATAAAAATTGAGTATAATGAGCATAGAGGAGAGCTCCTCAAACATCGTTAGATATTAAAGGCCCACCAATAAATCACAAAAGGCCCGCCGTCATGAAAATCTTCAGTTTGAGGTCTGTAGCTCAAAAAGTAGTCTTGAAAGAAAGCTATTAAAATTTTCAATCTGCCATGTTCAGATCACAGTTGTTAGATTACAGCGTAATTTTACACCCTCTGTAGGGTGAAAAATTAAATAAATTGTTCGAAACGCATTCCAAGGGGTACAAGAAATTGGTTTCCGTTGCAAATCCAAATGCTGATTTTGATCAAAAACTGCTCTCCAGCAAAATTTCCCTTTTCTGCATTTAAGTTTTTTTCCCCATGGCTAATTAGAATTGAATTGTACCAAGCAAATTTTCCAGAACAATTTCCAAATATGCATTGTATTTTATTTAGACTTCAGTTAATCACATTTCAATCAATTTTCAGAAGAAAAAGAGTAATAGTGCCTCAGGAAAGAAAGCTAGAGACTCAACCAACTCAGAATTGAACCGGGAGGATTTGGCTTACTCTTGTCTCCTTCGCAATGAGCTTCTAGGTGCAGAAATTGATAGAGTTCGTGGTCAAAGTGATGAAAATAAATTGGTTTCATCGCCAAAACAAAAGAATCTTTTCCAGGTAGATATACTCTTCATTTATTCCTTGAATTTCGTTCTGAACATATCCGTGAACATGATGCAATCATAATAAAAATCATACTATTTCAAATGATATGAGAAGCTTCTCTCAAAGCCAAATCAGTGTATAAAGCCATTTTTTTTGGGAGGGGGGGGAAGAGGTCCAAAAACGTAAAATACCATACAGAAGGGAACTATGGTTTGTAAATCTTGTGAGCTTAGATGTTGACTTCACGAATTTATTCCTTTTATCATTGAGTTGTAATAGAGAATTTTTGTAAGCAATGAGAGTATATTGGTCAGATGTGCAGGAGTTGCATGACAAATTCTATCAATTTACCCACCTTTTTAACCATTCAGGAAGAGTTTTCAGCATTTCTAGTCATGCAGAAGTGAATATTTCTCCAGATGGAAAGAGGGAAGGAACTTGATTGCTTTCAAAATTTTAGGAAAACAGCTTAAAAAGAAACTGTGGATTGCATGAAAGCTGCTATTACTAACTTATTATTCCTCTCCTTTGTCAATCAAAACCATATTTCGATTATGTTCATTGGTTTCATATTAATAATATTAGAACTTGCCTAGGTGTCCCTAATCTTACTCTATAATATAAAATCATATGAATAACGCACAACGCTAGAGGCACGAAAAGCTTTGGGGGGGGGGCTATGGCCCCCTAGTATTGTATTATTACTTCACTTTATTTTCAGATTTACTGTAACCTTATCACTTCACACCCATTGTGTTTTTTCCTTGGCTCGTAAGGATCAAGCCATTCCAAGAAATAGAACTAATTTTGCGTATCATCTTTTTTTCAGTATTCTCCTTCTGTGAAGCAGGAGCAGAGTATAGATGCCTGTGCGCCATTTTCGTTATCTCCAGTAGGACCCAAAAGCCAAAAACTCCTTCGATCTCCCAGGAAAGCAACCAGAAAAATATCACGGATACCATTTAAGGTAAGTCATAATATCGTGCACTTTTCTCTCTTCTTTTTCTTGCCCCTCATTTGGAATTCCACAGGTATCTAATTTTGTTCACCACAGTATCAATCAACAAAGTCTAAGAATATCCACTTTAATATTCATTGGCTGTCCAACTTACGCCTGACACCGTTAAGTGAAGACTTGGCAAGCCAAAACTGATGTAAAGGTAAAAATCCAAGTCCTTATCCTGGCTCCCCAGGGAAAGGGGTGGTGTGACACAACATGGGAAACAACACCTGAGGTTCAGAAGGGTGTCATGAGATCCTGCCTTACTAGTTCATGCTTAACTAAGATTCAATAAATTATTTGGCTTTTTCTTTTTCATTATTCTTGTGAAGAAATGACTGTGAAATTTCTGTTTGCTTTAATTTTTCAGGTTCTTGATGCTCCTGATTTACAAGACGATTTTTATTTGAATTTGGTCGATTGGTCGTCGCAGAATGTTTTGAGTGTAGGTTTAGGTAGCTGCGTTTATCTGTGGTCCGCCTGTACAAGCCAAGTCACAAGACTGTGTGATTTATCTGCAGATGGAAATACTGTAACATCTGTTTCATGGAACGAAAGGGTTAGTTTCCTCATTTGTATTGAAAGTACCAAAATTATCCATCTGAAAATACAGAGCATTTTAAAGAAAGGGAGCACTTCATCCAACTTCTAACAAGATCAAGACAGGATTCTAATAATTTTTAATTTTTTTTTTAAATTATGTGTACAATTGGATTGTATCCCTAAAAGTCAGAAAGAATGTTGAGAGAGGAAGTGAATCAAGGAAATAAATGACAGACTGCATAAATAGGTTTCCTGGTCTCTGTTCAATGAAGTAGCTCCAATACAAATGTCTCGGATTGAAGCTCCAAGTATTTTGCTCTCTCAAGCCTCTGGAATGAAGAATGTCTCATTTAAGTATAGATGGCCAAAGTTAGAAACTACATATCTCTGTTGTGTTGTTTCAAAATTTCTGCTCCTATTTTATTTTTTTCGAAGAAAATCAAGCCAACTTTATAACTTGAACTTCATGTTAAATATTCGGCCAACAGAGAAGAAAAATCAGGAAAGGTTTGGAAAAATTACATATGTAGACTAGTTTTCCAAAGAAAAAATGAAGTATGACAGGAAACCGCAAACGGAGGTTTATAGTTTCGCATTACGGCTATTGGTATTCTCTTCTCTCACAGATTACCACCAAAATCGTAGTTACGTATCAGAGCTGCGGGAACCAAACAGATTTGAGTGTGTGCTGAAAATGACTTAGAGTGCAGGAAGCTTCATAGAATGTCTCCTGATTCTAGCGCAATGACTAATAATAAAAATTCTTTTGTTTTAACTTTCAGGGAAATCTTGTTGCGGTTGGAACGAATCATGGGTCTGTGCAAGTGTGGGACGTAGGTGTTTCGAAGCAAGTTAATAAATTAGTTGGTCATTCTTTACGAGTCGGTGCAATAGCTTGGAATGGAGACATTTTGTCTTCTGGGTCAAGAGACAGGTTTATTTTCCAAAGAGACATCAGAACACCAGCAATCGTTCAAGAACGAAGGCTTGTTGGTCACAAACAAGAAGTCTGCGGATTGAAGTGGTCCCCTGACAACCAATATCTAGCCTCTGGTGGCAACGACAATAGGCTGTATGTATGGAACATGCATTCGTTATCACCTCTTCAGACTTACACTGAACATCTAGCTGCTGTGAAAGGTTAGTAATTTTTTCTTTGGATTCACTCCTTTTTTTAGTTTTTCTCTTTCTTTTAAATCAATGCTAACTAAGTGGAATTCTTGAATGTGTATTATGAAATTTTTGAGTAAATGAAATTATAAGTCAAAATCAGGTGTAAAATTGTATAATGCACTGATTTCCCCTAAAGGAAAAATTGTTGTAGCAGTGCATTTTCAACTTTGCCAATAGACCCACCACGATTTTGAATCAATTTACCCCAAAAACAAAGCTCTAGTGAAAGCTTTTATCAGTTCCTTGGTGCCATCATTCGTACTGTAATGTATCGTAAAGAAGCACAAACCCATCAAGCTATGCTTCTGGGCTCTTTCAAAGGATTTTTTCTGCATTGAATCTATATGTATCGAAAGTTTTTAAAAGAAGAAAGATATGTTTCCCGTGAATTCATCGTAGGTGGCATTTCTTTTCTTGGTCTATTGACTTTTTGGAGACTGACTCTTATACTTTACCAAGTAGATGAATGAATTTCTACAGTTTTACATGCGTTAGCAGAGGTTAATTCTCAGGATATGAATAAGTCAGTTACGCTGGTCATAGAATTGTGTTTTGAGGCTTGATTCTTGTTGATTAGTGAAAAATAATAAGATCCGTCCAAACCGCAACTTTCTACACTCAATATTAATCGAGATATCGCCCATTGAAAAGTCGGATTTTTAATGTCATCCACTGCGCAAGTAACACTCTTGGTTTCTTCCACCTCGTTTTCATCAGTTGCTGTGACGCTCATTAGCACTGGTTATTTAACGCGAAACCCGGATAAAAGCAAAGTGGAAGAAACCAAGGGTATCACTACCGCTGTGGATGACTTCGAAAACCTGACTTCTCAAAGGGCGATATCTCGAGTAATAGTGTACGTAGGAAGTCGCGGTTTCGGACGGATCTTATTATTTTTAGCTTATCTACAAGAATCAAGTATCAAAACACGATTCCATGACCAGCGCAACTGACTCATTCTTCTGTAAATATCAGTTCTGTTATGCAGCTGAGAAATGTGAAAACGGTGCTCTCGTTGAAATTATGTCCCTTCAAAATTCTAAAACAAAGAGAGAGCTCATCTTGAGATTTTCAACCGAAGATTTTCCTACTTAAGTTAGGCAAACAGGCTTATCAGTCATTAAGAACCTTGACAAGAGTTTTACATCACACAATCTTACTTCTTTGTTATTCTTTTTCTGTCGGTTGAGTTTTAATGTAAATTCCATTTTACTCTCAGCAATCGCATGGTCTCCTCATCATCATGGTCTACTGGCCAGCGGTGGTGGCACGGCTGATAGGACTATTCGGTTTTGGAATACATTAACTGGACAACCCATGCAGTTCGTTGATACTGGTTCACAAGTGTGCAATTTAGCTTGGTCTAAACATTCATCTGAATTGGTAAGCACCTATCTTTTGGCTAATTTGAAAGAAATAGATGAGAAACATTCTCTTGCCCAAAAAATATGATCAAGCCCTTAACAGCCCTCATAAAGCCTTGTGTATACAACCCCTTATCTGGAACGGGTGTGTTGCGTGTCAGAGACATAGGTGAATGAAAAGACTCTGTCATGGTAAAACTGCCAAAAAATATTGACGAGCACATAAAAAAAGTCGAAAAGTAACTTCTCAAGGCACAATATGCGCTAGCCGTTTGAAATATTTTTCCTGCATCTGTGGGCACTTTTCTTCGACCTTGGCAATCACGTATTCCAATGGGAAAATCGCAAGTTTCAAATAAAATATCTCTAGGTGCCAATATTGATGGCCTATTTTGGATACAAGTTGGAATGCTGTTTCACTTTGTCTTAGGAATCTAATTCAAGTATCTGAAGGCTGAAGTTCCTTGTGTAATGGCTAGACCTCTGAAACTTACATTCGTGAAACCATCTAGTATAAACCAAGTTGTAACCAGTAGCTGAAATTTTAAGATTGTTATTTCAAAATTTCAGGTCAGCACGCATGGCTACTCCCAAAATCAAATTCTGGTGTGGAAATATCCATCATTAACCCAAGTTGCAAAACTAACGGGCCATTCGTATCGAGTTCTTTACCTGGCCATGTCTCCTGATGGCGAAGCTATCGTTACTGGCGCTGGTGATGAAACACTTAGATTCTGGAATGTCTTTTCAAAAGTCCAGTCAACAAGGGTAAGCGCTCAATTTTTTTTTGGACTTTCTTTACAAAGTATGATTCAATGTTCTGTGATCAAATGCACATTTTGTTTTTAATACCCCAACCATCAGATGATAACTGTTGAGATGCAGTTTTGAAGTAAACACCTTTCCTCTTTGTGACCTCTATGAATTTCAACATTATCCCCCCAGTTTAAAGTTAAGTTTGTAGTACAGGTTTAGAAAAACAAGTTTTTCTTTTTGTCTTTCTAGTGCAATGTGTATCTAATAACAAGTCATGCAGTGGCGTGGCGTGCTTTGCGATCAATCGATATTTCCCCATTCGAAGCTGTGGTAAATGATCGATTATTAGGGTGTTCGTTGTGAACACCCTGTTTATCGATACTTTTCCATGGGTTTAAATGGCCAATCAATCGATATATCGCAAAGCACGCCACGCCACTGAAGTCATGTTTAACTCAATGGGCCTGTTGCAAACTTTTGCTAGAGCAAAAATAAGAGTTGTTTCTTATGGATAATGTCTCCAAAATCGTGATGAGCGCATCGGCAAAGTCTGAAATGCATTCTTAACTTCACAATCTGCGAAAGAAATTTACAAGTTTTTGAGCTTCCCGCTTCAAAAAACAATACTACGGCACAGGTGAAAATTTTGCTAAAGGAGTCGTTCCATCGTCGGCAATATTCATCATGGCCGACGCTTCCGCAGTTTTGCGCGTAATTTGAGGAGAGTTCAAGGCAGGTGAGGACAATATGAACGTAAACACGCCGATCGTTATTGGTCTTATCCTGGGCAGGTGTTATCTCGTCCCGTCACACTTGTTTTGGCGGATGGGCGTCGGCCATGATGAATATTGCCAAAGATGGAACGACTCCCATAGCAAAAAGTTTACCTGTGCTGTAGTATCGTTTTTGAAGCGGGAAGCTCAAAAAGCCGCAAATTTCTTACGCAGATTGTGAAGTTATAAGAGCATTTCAGACTTTGCCGTTGCGCTCATTGTGATTTTTGAGACATAATCTATAAGAAACAACTCTTATTTTTGCTGTAGCAAAAGTTTGCAACAGGCTCATTTTCATCTTTTTATCACTCAGGCCCTTTCCAAAATGGCAATTTTATTTAAGTCAGGTATGACCGGGTCAGAAGATTCACCTCAAGTGTTAACAATTCCAACCCAGAGGTGCACAAAGAATTAAAATGCAATGATGAGTAGCTGGAAAATAGTGAACGTTAAATTCAAGAGTACCTCTTTTTTCTCCTTATTCTAATTCTAATTTTGTCCCCTTTTTTTCTCTTTTTTTCAGGAAAACAAATCCGTCTTAAACCTGTTTTCAAGTATTCGTTAGTGTGCTTTTCGTGGGTCCTGATTGTGGTTGGTTTGTTTTTTTCTCCTTTCTTCTTTTTTTCTGTATTATTGTTTATACAGAGTTTATTTTTAAAAATTTCTCACCCTCTTTTCTTTTCTCTCTCCTCCCTTTTAACTTTCAGGTTTTACTAACCAAGTTCTCATGCCCTCTGCTCGTTTCTAATTTCATACTTTTCAATTTTTACGAGCAATGTGATATCGGAGAAAAGAAAAGAGGGGAGGATAACGTTCAAAACAGAGCTTTATATATTTAGATGATTTATTTTATGTTTTCTTTTCTCTTGTACAGTAGTAAATAGACAAAATTGTTATTTTTGGTTTATCTTGTTTAAATTTTTGTGTTGGTTTCTTTGGTCCTTTTTTTGTCTTTTGCTGTGTCGTTATCTTTGATTACCTATGATTACAAAAGACTTTTTGTATTTTCCTTTTTTTAAAACTCGAAGTAATGATTCCTAATTTTACTTGGCCGCAAATGCCTGTAACCTTTCTTTCATTTTTGTTCCATGAAATTTCAATCAGTGTTCAGGTCTATTTGATGTAAAATTATCGTTTCTCTTGAAATCACCTCGCATTTCTTGAATAACTGTCTTGAAAAAGCTTGAAAGTCTAAAGTTAAATTTAGTTCTTATTCTTATAAAATCATTGTCACTTTTCCCGTTCTCTTTTTTGAGCACTAAGCTAAGGAAAAAAAGTATTAGGCATCGAAGCAGCAAATGTTGATACTGATTTTTTATTTGAATCATTCAATAATCAAGCTGAAATTGTTTTTCAAGGTTCAAAACACTTACAGCACTTAGATCTCTTGAGAATACAAAGAAGTCATTTCTTTCATGAATCCAATTATGTTTTACTTGTGTATTTTTCTTTAGTGCCTGTACATGATCCTCTTAGATGAAAAGCAAGGAAAGTGTACTGCTGCCTCCTGATTTGTCTTTTTCACTGTTTTCCTGCTGGAGGATTCTTGCTGTCAATTTTCTGAAAATTTTTGTTCCCTTATCATAATCAATGATTTAATGGCCCTCTGTGTTCTCAGTTACCTGTGCTTTTATATGAGCGTAGAAAATGGATCCTATTTCATAATCAATTCCACAGTTATTTCTATTAACCTCTTTCTCGTTTTTTGTTGAAATATTTATTTTATTTGCTACAAGTATCTAATATTTCTCTTAAATTTCCAGTTTATTTTCTCTTTTTTCCCTCTATATATGCAATAGTTTGAATCTACGGAGTATTAAAAATAAATGGCTTGCTTTAGAGAGCAAGACAAAGAACTGCCAATAATTAAGCTATAGACACTGAAAAGAATTTGAAATGAATTATAGTTTGGACTTTGATAGGATGAATGTACGTATCGTGAAAAGAATGCTCGTGATTTGTTCAAAAATACTCTAATCAAAGAATATTCACCTAACCTATTTTCTAATTTTTTTTAATATCGTCTCTTTATTTTCATGAAATGAAAAAAATTACGGTATTTTCTGAATGTGTTTAAGCAGCAAATGGGTTGTTCAATTAGTACACTCACTGCAATGAGTTGCCCGTACGAACTGTATTGCAGGATCCCTAGAAACAAATAAAATAAAAGGGATGAATGAAGTGTGAGATATCAGAAAGCTGCTTTTGAGTATGGTGGTTACCACAATAATTTTAAGGAAGCTACACTGAATCGCTGATTCTTTTTCACAATACATTGTTGCGACTTAGCTTGTGAAAATCTCCGGTGGAGGTAAGGCTGTACTTCAATACAACCCTTGCAAGCAATTCCATAAAATAGAGGCCTGCTTTTTTCATGACACAAAATTTTACTCACCAAACAATTCAATTCTCAAATAGAAATAAGATTTTCAATAAAAATCAACTCGGTTCCTCTGTCGTACTCTTTTATGTTCAGCCAGCAGAAATTATATGATTCGTTATTTTGTCGAAAATATTGCAGGAATTAACTATTTCACAGTACATACATTTTAGAGTTCTTTCTCTGTTTTTTTTTGTCTTTTTTGTGTATTTTGGATTCCAGTGAATTTGTATACATTTTGTAATTACTGCAAGGGATTTTTCCCCCTTGACTAAATTTTCAAGTGGAGCTCTCTTCTGATCACATTGTGAGTAGACAGATGTTGGATATAATGTATGCTCATTATTACAATTTAAGTTCTTTTTCGCATCAGCCATCGTCCATGTTGTGGTATGATGAATAGACTGAAATTGGTAGTTTCTAAGTTCTATGGTAAATCTAACATGAGTTCACAAGTCAAAATTTTCCGGAAAGATATTGATTCTATGTGCTCTTGAACTTTTCATAATTAGTAAATTAAGTTTTTGACAAAAATTTGACATCTCAATTATTAATTTGAATCATGCTTAATGCTCTCTTTCAATTCTAAATGAAAAATCAGCTATGTCATGCATCGGATCTCATATCGAGTGTCTACAAATCTGTCATGTGTAAAAATATTTGAAACAACAAACAAATCAGCAGATTTGACCATAAGGAATCGGTAAGTTTACCTTAGCACATCACTTTAAATCCTACTATTGCAGTCTCATTCTATAACAATTGCAATACGAAGTACTAAATGTGTACTGATGCTCCTTCAGATCTATTTGTTGTGAATTCTAGTTTTACACAAGTATAGGTATTTGCTCCATGATATATCGTGTCAATTTCCCTCATCTGTATTTTTCCTAGTGGTGTCTACGTTGCGTTTCCTGCACTCTCTCAAGCGGTTTTGCTGCATCATGTTTTTGTACACAAGATTTAAAAAGAGAAAAAAACCAAATATGAAACAAAAAGAGAAACAATTCCAACACATGCACTGTATGTAAAGTCAATGATTGTAAATATTTGTTATATTACATGGCGTGTGTACAGTTAAATATGGTTTTTCATTTTCATCCCCTAAGTGCATATTCCTTCATTCTATAAAAATCATACATATGTATCAGTTCCGATGATAAATTTTAGTCTGCATGTAGGCATGTTCTAGACTCATACCTCAAATCTGGCCTTGCCTCCTTAATACTTAACGGTTTGAAAATTAACACTTTAATATTAAAGCAGTTTAACTGAAAAGAAACTGGCCTAATCAAGAGTCATTCTGCTGTGCTAGAGAAGAACAATACACATATGAGCCTTTAGGCGTTGCCAAATCTCCTTTGATAAAAGATCAATTTTTAATGAATGTTAAAATTTATTTTTTCATTTTTTTTCATGTGTTGTGAATATTTTTCTAAGACTTTAGTGAAGAATTTCATTTGCTGCTTGATTTGAAGTATTTGAAAGTCTCAAAGAAAAATATTCACAGCTCTTTTTGAAACTAAATATTTTTGGGGGAAAACTTGGTAAATTTCGGATGTTCAGAAAGCGTTTTTCCTTAGGTTCAATATTTTATAGCCCACTTATTAATGCTTCAAGAGGGTTTTAATACCTTTTACATTCTCAGTAACAACTCTTTAAAGAGCACAGGAAAAGTATGCAATATTTTGTGTAGTAACACCAACTGATTGTTCTTTAAGAAATCAAAAAAAATTATTAAATATGCAATGTCTCTAACACAAATGTGTAGTAGAGATACTTTGGTGGGTCTTAATTGAAAAAAATTAAACATTATCATACATTTTAGGATGCTGCAAGTGATGTACGCTTTCTTGTTTTGGCCATCGTCACATCAGATAAATGCATTGAAGAATTTGTTCTCCAATTTTATTAGATGTAAAAACATGGAAGAACATTTTTCTTGTCTACCATTCTGGGAATCATCTACTGAGTACTTAAGACCTCTCCACTCTAAGATGAACCATTCCTCAGTCATTGTAGTAATTAAGCTGCAATGGGTACTGTAAGAAGCTTTCCTCATTCTGAGGGACTCCTATCCTTTGTAGAAAAATGGCCAAGTCCTTTTCCTTCTGAAAAAACTGCATCTGGAAGCACTTAAAGTTTTTCATGAAGATGATGTCTCATTTGGACCGCGATAAACAGAAAGGAACCAAGCCACATCAGCTATTGCCAAATTTAATTGGGCAATTTAATTTTTTACATGAAAACAGTTGTGCGGATTCTCGTGCAAAGTTCAGTGAAAATTTTCCATGGTAGGAAGCAAATTCCTTAAAATTTTCAAAGAAATCCAAACAAACGCTCTCTCGTAAAAAATGTAATCGCCCAGTTAAACTTGGCAATGGCTGATGTGGCTTGGTTCCTTTCTGTTAAACACGGTCCATTTGTTTAATGTGCCAAATCACCCTTTTATTTTTGGAAGAAGGTACCCCACTCATAGGCACAAACCTGTATTTTTGGTAATACTGCCCTATTATGGACTCCGTTGAGCAAAAGTAAGAATTTTTCTTTAGCCCCAAGAGGCTAATCGCGTATTCAACATCCAGCCCTGAACGATCTTTGCTTGAAACCATCAAATTCAGACCCCCTGACCGAGAATCGAACTCTGAACCTCCTTCCTGATCATAGGTTTAGCACTACAACTACTACACACCAGGAGGCTGGCAACGAGCTTAATATGAAACTGAAACTTTAAGCCTGAGTGAGATTGATTCGCTGTTTTTAAAGGAATTATTTGGGAGTTTCATTACCTTAGGATCGCTAAAATGCTTTCAAATTTTCTGAAAGTTTCACAAGGGAACACGCTTCTCGATATTTTTCACCTTGAAGACTTTTTAATTGGCTCAGTTCTTTTTTAAAAAAAAACGTATCACAACTCACAAAAAAAGATGTTAAAGCATTCAATGTTACTTAAAAATCTGTGCAACAACTCTCTCACGTTTGTTTTAATGCCCCGGCCGAGTTTGACACACAAGATGTTAATGCTATATTCTGTTTTTCATCCTGCGGACTTTCCTTAATTTTCCCAAGCGTAATGATTCTTTACATGGCTACTTAGAGGAGGGAAAGACTGCAGTGGTTTGAGGCAAGTCTGGTAAGTTGAAAATTCCAAAATTCAAACCTCCCGCCATTTTCTTGTTGCTGATGCTAATCATGCGTTGCCACGTATATGATTATTTATTACCATATTTGTTTTGCAACCAGACAACGTTGCAAACCGCTGAGTTGTCAAACAGGTTTCGAGAGAGGTTAGCCACGACAATCCGACAATCCGAATCTTTCGTGAAGAAAAAGTGATCCAGGTGACATTCATCAGCATAAATTTTTGCTCAATCAGCGTGATACTTGTAATTTTATTCATGTGCTAGTTTATGGTGTGGCACATACATTTTCCTAGTGCTCCTTTTAATTGTGATAATGGCAGGTGCAAAGTCTAGTGATAAAAGAGGGCCTGGTCTGGCCGTCAAAGTTTGGTTATTTTCTTATAACTTTTTGCAAGTTTTAGGGTAAGTTTTCATCCCTCTACATCCTCATCAGTTCTCTCTTAACTATTTTTCAATTAATGTATTCTTGACCTTCTGAAAGTTAAGGTCACTAAATCCTCTGCTCTTTTACAATGCAGCTGCCATGGTAATAGTATCAGCGCCCAAGTATTACAAAGAATGCTTTTTCTTTGGAATGAATTGAATCGCATTGCTCTAAAAATGAGAGGACCATAGACCCTCATAGTGCTGTTTCACTAATCGACTGACCCATCAAGTTTGCTAGAGAAAATTATCTTAAAGTATTGAAATTTTACCTTAACAAAAGTTCTCGTCGAATCGGAGAGTTACTCAACTCTCCTTCAATCATTGGAAAAAAATCGCATTAATTCTTAAACATGATCAAAGTTTGTCTCCCTTTCATAATAATGAAATATTTCCAGAAACTATGAGACTTCCCTTTTTTGTCTTTTTGGTGTTTTCCAGTTCAATCTAGGTCATCTTACTTACTTAAAAATGAAATGTCGGATGAGGCACACTGATATTCTGATTTTTCCAGAATCCACACCAAATAAGTCAATGCTTTTTACGAGTTAGAGAGTGAGTGATCCACCAGCCCGATTCTTGCGCTTCCTTTCAATGCATTCCTTTCCAAAACAGTTGATCTTCTTTTGCACTCTACAAATGCATAAAATTATCTGGCACAGACACCAATCAAGTTCTTCAGGACCTATTGCAATATGATCAAGGAGTACGCAAGTGAAATTGCAATCGTATGTTCTAGGGTTTTCAAAGGTTATCTGGAAATTCGCTGAGATCTGTTTAGATTTGTGATGTTTTACCTGGTTTTTTTAACTCTACGCTGAATGGAAGGCAAACCGGGAAAAGTTTCGAAATCACAAGTCAGAGGCTCATGGAAAGTTTGTTAACAACATTAATCCAAAGATATATGGTTCCAGCCAACGATCAGTTGACACTATTCCTTCCATCACATTCTCGTACATACTTACCTAATTGAAGTATCTTCTTTCAGATGGAGTTATTTGCTGTATCAGCTTGTGAATTACTATACCAATCCTCCCGCATCTAAAGCGCCTCTTTGGGACATTGTCAAACTTGGTGTCATTGTATTTCAAAATGCAGCTTTTCTTGAGGTAAATCTTAGCTTATGGGGTCTTATATAGCATGATAAAATTTCTCCATTAAGGTGATTCGACGGTTGCCATTTTTGTGTCAGAGCACCGTGCGATACATTGCATCAATTCGTTCCATTTTTTCAGCTACTTTTCACTTTTTTCGAATTTTGAGATCGCGCTTCTGTTGTCATGAGACTAAAAAATTCATGTACCGAATTTGATAAAGAAATTCAACGTATTAAAGGCAGAGTTTTTTCAGAGGAAATATCGAAAGCGATATTTTTCCTCCAAAAAAACCCCTGCCTTTGTTACGTTGAATTTCTTTGTCAAATTTTGTACATGAATTATTTAGTCTCATGACAGCAGAAGTGCGATCTCAAAATTCGAAAAACGACAAGTAGCTGAAATTTTGGAACAAATTGATGCGATGTATCGCACGTTGCTCTGACACAACAAATTGTAACTGTCAAATCACCTTAATATAAAGCTAAAGTTCTTGAAATTTTTTCAAAATTTGAGCAGCAAAAAAGGCTTGCACTAGACGTGCAAATAAATCTGTGAAATTTCTTTTGATCATTACCTTAAGTCAAATATTTTTTTTCTAATTCCACTCAGTAATGAAGTCTAGGTCAAATATTTCGCTCCAAGAAAGACCTTCATGAGCATTGTTTTCATTAAATGGCATTGGACATTTTTTCATTAAATATTTCAAAACTATACATAATTTCCCTTAAAAAAATGAATGGTTCTTCATTTACCTAAAATAGGTATTAAATACAAGGACTAAAAACAGCCAAAATTCCCAAGAACCAAATATATTGGTAAACAGAGAATCTCGGTTCCTTAAGTATGAGAATCATATGAAGTTCCCTCTCTAGAATTTTGAAGGAAAAACGAATAGCCACCCTGTGAGCCAATTATTCAAATTTTGTGCTTGTCTGGTGGACAACACAAGACTAATGGGGAATGGAGCCATGTGTTTGAGGGTCTACCTCCTCCAGTCAACCGATGAGCTCTACGCGAACTTCTTATCTGGCTGAATAACCAACTAGCTGAAGGAACTTCCTCGGTAGCCGACAGTAAGTCAATCATCCGACTGAATGAAGATCTCGTGTCATGGATGTCTGTCAATGGATTGAGGTAGCCCCTTACCGAGCATGTTTAGTTCTTTTGTATATTTTGCCTTGAACTCAATTTTCCATTAGCAATTTCTAGATAAAAATTGAACCAACAGTTTTAGAGGGCTAGAGAGCCAAAAATTCTCAACCTCAATGCTCATGATCCATATCCTGGGGCTTATGAAGTTTTTGCACTTCAGTCCTTTCAAAAGTGAACAGTTCTATGGACAACTTTATTATTTTTAATTTTGGAATTGCTTTCTTATTGCATCGCAGGTCATAAACGTGGGTCTAGGATTTGTGAAGTCAAACCTAATCATAACATTTTTCCAAGTTATGTCAAGACTGATAGTGGTTGATGGTCTGTTGATTGTAACTCCCACCGCACCAGAATCTATTGGTTTGCCATTGTGTATTCTCTGTTGGTCAATCGCAGAAATAACTCGATACTTGTACTATGCACTGAATATCATTGATGCTGTTCCCTATGCTTTGGTGTGGTGCAGGTAAGATTCAAAAGATTTTCCGTCATATGGTTTTTTTGTAAAACTCAGGCAATGTAAAACAAAAATATGAATGTACCTTAGGGACACTGACGCCAGTTAGATATCATTTTTCATGTGTTTCAATTTTATTACCTTGTGTCAAATACCCTTTGTAAGTCAAACTGTAGTGACAAGAAGTCCTGGCCCCCCAAAAAATTGTCCAAACGTGGTATCACAATAATTGGTACTGCTCAAGTTACTGTTTTACTCTTTTCCACGCATGATGTCATGCTCTATTGATCTCAAAAATTTTCTGCGAGCGCGCTTCTTGATTCTGCCAGCCCAGCAGTACAAAATATGTAAAAGTGCTCTTGAAATGATGTTTAACCATGGAAGAAACTGCATCCCTGTCTCTCATATCATCATTGCCTAGATGAAATCTAGTCGTAGCTTCATCCCAGGGAAGCAAGATTTCCACTTGCCAAGTGTATTTTTACAGAAACTATTGAACTTTTCTAACTGCAAATTTTGCAGATTTTTCCTCTGATTACACCTTAAACTAAAAGTTTGGATTGAATTAAGTACTGTAGAAAATTGAAAAATTTGAGTGGAACTTGTAAACCTCTTTATGGAGTCACATTCATTTGTGCAGGGGGGATATGTGTCTCTTTGTAAAGCAAACTTGTCTGATATTTCTGCGTTTATTTTCACAGGTACACATTTTTCTGGGTTTTGTATCCAGTTGGAATCACAGGAGAACTTCTATGTTACTATGCAGCACAGTCTTATGTCCAAGAACACAACCTATTTAGCTTATCTCTACCAAACAAACTCAATATTGCTTTCAGCTATCACTACTTCCTTATCTTCATGATGCTTCTTTACATTCCATGTAAGTTTAGTTTTTCTCCAAAATTGTTATACCTCCTAGTTTAACCTTTTCATTGCCACGAACCCAGCATCTGAAGTCAGTAAAAGTGTATCCTTCTGGTATCATTTCTGCCATTACATATCAACCTTTACTCAGAATTATAGCTCTATGGGCCGATCTATAACTTTAGACAGTCTGCAACAGAGCACACTCTGATTAGTTTTCATGACAAGCCGAGTTTGTTGTGGAACATGCGAGCGCATAATCTAGCCTGGTGAAGAGTTAAGAATGGCAGAGAAATTAATCTCAAGTAAACATCAGTTTATTTAAGCAGAAAGTCATTGGATTGAAGCCAAAATTGCTTTGCATTGAAGTGAAATGAGAAATTTTAACAATGGGCCTGTTGCAAACTTTTGCCAGAGGAAAAATAAGAGATATTTTGTACAGATAATGTCTCAAAAATCATGATGAGCGCATCGGCAAAGTCTGAAATGTACTCCTAACTTCAAAATCTGCGTAAAAAATGTGTATGTTTTTGAGCGTCCCGCTTCAAAAACGATACCACAGCACTGATGAAATCTGACAGAAGTTACTAACCAGTAATTCCCCGAAGAACTGTTTTTCGGCAATTGTAAATGAAATTTGGTATGGCAAGGCGATAGATATTTAAGGATAACAATTTTTGGTCAGTTTCGTGTTATATTTAAATTCAAATTAACACCTCAGTTCATAGAACTTTCATAATGTTTGCAGACTAATTTTTATGGAATCAGGTTTAAGATATTAATATTTAAAGGAAAGAGGGAGGAGTCCCTCTTAATTTTTTAATCTTTTAAAAAATGTTGGTATTCCCACTTTAGGGGTTTCTTGTCTTAAAATTTTACATTCCCCTCAAATGATTTTAATACTCTTGTATCGCAACTCATAATTTGTTTTACTGAAAAATCATTTCAACTTTGTGTTTCATGCTCTTTTTCAGTGTTCCCGCAAATGTTCATGCATATGGTTCACCAAAGAAGGAAAATCATTGGTGGTGGTGGAGCTGCCAAGTCAGAAGCTTCTGCAAAAGGGAAGAAAGGTCGTTAATATTTCTTTAGAAGTAGTTGGAGACCTAAAATTGGTGGAATAGAACAGTAAACTGCCATTGCATCATTATACTGGTTTTTTTTATGTAAAAAACTTTAGAAATTTGTATAGGAGCAAAGGCTTCAGAAGGATACACCATGAGTCCTAACGGTTTTTAGATCTTAAATATTATTCTCAATTCAGTCAGGATATTATTGGAAGATGAGTTATCTCTCTGAATCGGATGTTTGGAAGAGATCCAAGCGCAATCTTCAGCATAACTTCTTCTTGTGTCAGTTTCTAGCCTTGCAATGTGGTGTTTTTTTTCCTTTCTTTTTTTTGGAACCAACTAATGGGTTAGATTTACCTCAAGGTCAATCAGCGCAGGTCAGTCCAAAAGCGAAGTTTAACCATCTGTTTACCGAAAGGTCTGAGCATAAAAACAATAAAAAATGGATTCGTCGCACGCAAGAGATACAGATAAGTGAGTAGTTCCTGCAGGTAATATTTCATGATAAAAGGAGAGTGGCACTTAAAAATGTTTAAAATTTTCTCTTTATTGCACTTATTGTGCAGTTTGTAACTTGCTTTTTCAAATTTCCTTTGTCCATGGGCAGTTCTATGTAGTCGTCAGCGACTGGGTTTGTCCAGAAGTCCGTAAGAAAACCCTACCTAAAAAATCCATCTTTCAAATTTTCTCTGATGTATGAGACCAATTGTTGAAAGTCTTCTTCCTTATTTCTGTGTGTTGCAAAAATGAAAGCTTTAAATCCATTTCTTTAAATTACGTTCGAGGAAAGTTTGCAACAGTTTGCATTGATTATTTATCTTGGTCAGGTTTGCTTGCGTCACTCTGGGTAATCGTGATTGCCAGCCACTCAGAATAACTTGCTGATGTGTGAATTACGGAAAAGCATTTTATTTATAAGCTACACAAATTACACATCAGGCAATGGATTCCAGACCCTTTGATGTTTCCATTATGATTTTTGTCGACTTCACCTGCAGAAAGTTTATGGCTGTATCTCTTGCATGCACTAGACCCATTGGTGTGATTATAGCTTTTTGCATTTCTTCTATCCTGATCACAAAGATCTTGCAAAGATCTGAAGGACTGTGCATTTGAAGCAGCATACCGAGGGAGCGGGGACGTTTTGAAAGTAGCGGAAGCGCAACTCGGATTTATCAGCCCTAGATGGAGAAATTTTAAAGGTTAACTTGTCATTGAACTGATTTGATCCTGCAAACTTAACCTCAACCCTAGGCACAATTTGGAACCGAGTCTATAAAAACCGTGTATGGGGTATAATACTCGTATCTCTCTTTGTAGAGTCCTATTTCTCAATCATTCTCCAATGAATCTCTTTAGCCTATTATATTGTATCAGTAAAGGGTGAATGATGAATTGTATGTATATGATTTTTTAGTAAGTACACCTCACTTTCACGATGAAGTAAAGACTAATTCTGTTATTTTATTTATTAAGCCTGTTTCTATTTTTTTTTATCCTCTTTTTCATTTGTTCAAAAGTAAGTTTGTACCATTTTCTTGCCAACTTAAAAAAATATATGTATTCTCAAGGTTAAATTGGGAAGTGGAAACTACTAATAAGGGATTTAGGTTCTACGTAAATATAAGTTTAAGATTTTATGCATGTTACTCAGGTGATGGCTATCAAAATTTCAAGCACCTTCGTTAGAATGTATTTAAATGACTGTAACATATTACCGTATTGAATTTTATCGCAAGTCTTTTGATGAATTCTTGTCTTTTATCAGATCCCGACTATTCTTACATTTATTGACCTTCTAATTTGTAACTTAAATGCTTCTTTTTCTCCCTCTCTCTCTCATTTGTGATTAAGTGGTCACCCAGTAAAACCATGGTATGTATTTAAATTCCTTTAAAACATAAGAGTTCAGACTGCACACAATATGCTGATATGAGTTTGGTTCTTTCTTCATTTATGATAGCTTTAAGTCCAAATTTTTCATATCATGTACCTATTGCTACTATTTTTTCTCAAAAATGTACTGTCATATGAAAAAATTATCCATTCAATTTAGAGGAAATATGTAGTTCAAATGTTCAACCATTCAGGACATCAAAGCGTTGCACAATTTTTCTTTTTACTTGTGTCTCTTATGTAAATCGAAGTTGACTTAATTCACAGGTATCTGTGGGAGGGATCATCTTTCTAGCATTAAGAACTGCATTGTTACTTTTTACAAGGTCCTTATAATCTCTGCAAGGTATTTTGTATCAAGGTGTTATACTCATCATAAGGTTACGAATTCTCAAAACTTTTTATGACCTCTTTGTTATTTTGTTTACACATTGTTGTTCTTTTTCTTTTGAAAATTTATGTGTAAATACATATTTTTTTTACCGAATATATGGTGTAATTACTTCTTTGTGTATCTACTGTAATCATGAGGTAACAGGTTTTGATAACCGGGCATTGTCAGGGAATGTCATCAGGTCCGAGAAATCAGGAGGAATTCAACAAAAAAGACTGGAAACTTATTACGTTGAAAAACATCAGCGCTGTCCACACAATCAACTGATTGCGAGTCCATCCTGCTTGTTACCCAATGCAGAGAAATAATTCTGAACAAGGAATTACTATCAATTTTAGTCAATCGAATAATTAGCACCTGAGGAAAAAAGATAAATAGCCTTGGTGTCATTATAGAAGAAAAGAGCCGTTTGATGAAACTATGTAACCACCAGCAATCAATGTTTTATTACCATCTCTGCCGTGCAACGCAAAAACGCCATAAACGCAATTTTAAATTTTTTTTGGAACAATGTTTCATAGCAGAAAAACTTGTGCACCTTGAGACACAACATAGAATTACAGTGCATTTTAGTGCATTTATAGAATTCTTTTGCAAATACTATCAAGAACTTCACCTGAAAATTTGAGGTGCATGGGTAAAACAGTTTTTATCTTATAAAGTGTTAAATTCCAAAAAATGCTGGAAAATCTTGATGGATTTACGGCGTTCTTGCTTAGCATGGCAGAACTTCTGGATGATATTTTTTGATCTCAATATTCATGACCTAACATTGAGAAAATGAGGTCTTTAAATAACTGCAATGTTTCATTTTTTCCGGCATCTTCTACTTCAAAGTTGCAGCACGATACACGAGTCCCTGTGTCCTGCAGTGCAGAGGCGTGTTAAAGGGGGGGGGGGGGGGGGGGGTCCGGACCCTCTGGAGCCCCCAAAGAAGATAGAAAAGAAATAAGAGAAATCAAGGAAAAGGAAAAAAAATCGGGTGGAGAGAGAACACGACGATATTTTCGTCTAGAGGAACGAGTCTTTTTCTTTCTTTTTTTCTATGAAAAACCTCAGGCGTTCAGCTCCAGTTAGATATAAGGGCACTCACATCACTTGTAACGGAATTTACTTCGGCACCGTAATAATTTGATCAAACTTTTTGTGAGTAAGGAATTGGAGACTGGAGAGTACCTATCTGAGAAAAAATTATATATCAGGGAAAAAAAATATGTGAGAAGAAAATGTTTCATATTGGGTTTACGGCTCTGACGCCATAACCAATAAACTAATTGTAAGATACGAATTACTTTTCTTTAGTGCACAAAATAATGTTAGGTTGTCGTTCTGAAAAATCGCCTTTTCGCCTCTCTGATTGGTTTTCGCAGTTGCGACATAGAGAAATCAAAAGAAACGTTCTCATTGGTCACGCCTGGGCGCGCCGCGCCGGCGATGAGTAAACAGTAAACAAAGCGAAGAAAAAATTTCGAAATCGCGGCATGTGCATGTGCGAAAATCGGATAATCCGTTGAAGTTCGATTGGCTCCTATCAATTTTACTCTCATCAAAAATGTTCGGATAAGTCTTTGTCAAACTTTAAAGCTATCTCGATTTCATGTTGGGTTTTCAGTTTCACGTGAGTGGACCGCAGTGAACTACAGAGGCAACGCTACAGTCTGCGTTTCTTTTACTGAACCAAAATTAGGTCGAAATTTTGCTAAAAAAATTGTTCGTCGTTGCCCTACGCCATGGCAAGCGACAGTCAATCGTGCATCGTTTGTCTGAAAGATAATGCCAAGCTGTGCTCGCGGTGCCGTAACTTGCGTTATTGCTCTAAGGATTGTCAGAAGAATGATCGGAAGATTCACCGACTCCTGTGCTCAGACTATGCCAGTTTTGATGCCTCCAGTCGACCCAGTGATAATCATTTTCGAGCCATCATTTTCCCTGTAGAGGAGTTTGAACCCAAATTTGTATGGATGCAATGTCAAGATGGTAAGTATCAGCGTCCTATTGTTGATTCATTTTTTGGATCGAATTTTCAGTCTGAAAGTTTGCAAATCCAATCGATACAGACTAACGGGTTATTAAAGAGGAAACTATCGGACACAATCCACTTAGCCTATTGTAACTTCTCTACGACTGGTGGCTTACTCACGAACCTCTGTATTTCAAGCAATATTCCGTATGCTAAAGCTGGACATGACCCTGGCTGGCGAGGCCCTGTAATTGCGTATGGGACAGTAGGGGTAGATTTAGAAGAGGCAACATGCAGAGACCTCACCATGACTGACTTCAAACACATTGCAGACCATTTTCTGTGGTATGAACATAAAGCTCCTGCCATAGTAGGTGATTTAGGGTGTATTGAAGGTGTTCGTGTCAATTGTGTTGGTGACCGGGATCTCAGGAGGCAGTTGTACGAGCCTGTTAAAGTACCCTCCACTGATATTATTTTTTCCATTCATGAGTCCCCTCGCATAGCAGAGATTCTCGGGCTTCCTGTCTTTACTCGGAAGTACCCTCCAAACCCACTTTGGATGGCTCATCGTCAAAAATTTGATAACCAAGATGCAACATGGTTACACTTATGCGCCGATCCTGACAGCCAAGATTTTGGTTGGGCCCCCCAACGTTGGCAAGCAGGATCTGCAGGAAGCTTTCTGATGGTTAGACAGGACCGAAAACCTCTGCACCCACATCATGCTGAAGCATTGTGTCAGTATTGCATGAATTACTGTCAGCCGTCGTTTGAAGATGTATTAGAGCGAGAAAGAGGCAGAATCAATCCTAAGCTTCGAACAGAGGCCTTAAATAAAATTAACAGGAAGAACTTCATCATGTTAGCATGGGAAAATGATATAATTGGTCTCAAACGTCAGTTCAATCAGGTTGCAGATGAACCCAACCCCTTTGATATTTAATTTCCTCCATTGAGTCAGTGCCGATCAGTTCAAGCAAGACATCTTAAGCCTTCAATACACCTTCAGGAAATGATTATTGTTTTTTCACCAACAAACTCCTATGCTGTTGCATTTAGATTGTTCTCTAAAAATGATGGTTTACCATGACTATAGTATACCTAAACTTTATTTTTAATTTAAATACCTACTGTCAGAAGATCATACTTCTTCAGCATCTTGACACAAGACATAGTTATTTTTATAGTTTATGTTCTACTTACTATACTTACCCTGTGTTTAAGATATGTCAAAACATCTCTCCTCTTTTCTTTTCACTCTCTCTTATCCATTATAAATATCCATTAACCTGACACATATTTACCCATACCATCTAATCAGTTATTGATTACTTAGTAAATCGTAGCCTCTTAGGTGCAAGGGCGTATCCCTTTTTCCAGAGCCCTATTTTACATGTAAAACCATGCTCTCTGGGGCTCATGCGGATATCAAGATATGCCCTTACATCAGAGGAGTGACACGATATTTAAGATGCAGATCAAGCAGATACTTCTCATCTCTTTAAAATAAAGTGATGTTAACTCAACCCTTACATTTTTGTCTACTTTTCCTTTTTTTGTATTTCTCAGAGCGTGGAAAGCAATTTTCCAAGTATTTAAATGTTTGTTGTGTGTAGCTTCAGATACCTCATGAAAGGAGTATAGCTTTAATGATTGTAATACTTAAAATGAATACAACATCACTTTTGCAGGCTGGGGACAAATTGCTATTTTTTACCGCTCTTGTGCCTTTGATTCTGTGTCAAAACTTACCGACAAGTAATTTACCTTTTTACATTTATATTTATATTAGCTATTATTTTTTGTTTTTTCTACCATAAAATCTCTCATCATTAGTTATTATTTGACGAAAATGTATCACTTACTTATAATGAGGTGCTTCTACACCTCCCCCTCCCTCTCATCTTATGTGGTTACAAAGGCAAATTATCTTTTAAAAAACCCTCCATTAATTATCTTGAAATTTTTTTTTTTTTACACACTGTAGTGCTTACTTATTTCTGACTGAAAATTTCTGTGTTTTGAAAATGAGTGTTTTCTGGGACGTCTATGCCAAAATATGTTCATTATTGTGCATACCTACCCAGTTTTTGGTTTTCAAAATCTAAATTAATTTAATTTTTCTAATAGAATTATTTTAAACTGATGTACCGTATTACAGATGTTCACTTACTTATCCAATGTTTTTGCTCAAGTCTTAATGTTTCCGTTTGTTTTGTTTCTTCATACTTAATTATGAAAATAAAATATCAAATAAAAGAAATCATAGCTACCTTAAATGACGTTGTTGATCATCATTTTTTAAAAATGCTCAGTAGACCGTCTAAGCCTGTTCAAGTACATTTCTTAAACATCAGCATACCTCGAATCAATGAAGTAAAAATTATATAATTCAATCTCATTAAAGCTGGAAGGCAATTATGCACCTATCCCTGAAAGTGAGAGTGCAACTACCCATTTTTTAATCAAAGCGATTTTAATCACTGTTTCATGTAATATTGTTTGCAAAATTGCTTACAGGATGTTGAAAATTTCATGCAAGTGAAAGTTTTGAAACGATTGCTAGATTTAGAGGGTCTTGTAATTTTCTACTAGATTTTTTACAACCATTCTTCTCTGAAAAGAGACAGAGAAACAAGAAATTGATAGTGCCTACCCAGTAAGCGTCTTACTCGACGCGTATAAAAAATTGCAGTCGGAAAACCTGAAGGCGAATCCAAACGAGTCTAGGTCTGATATGTAACTCCGCCATGGTATCTTTTATCGTCTATAAGTAAGACGTTTAATTTCGCTCAACTTTTTACCTTTTATAAGGAAATAAATACTAAAAACAACTACTTTATGAAAAATGTAGCACGTATAGATACGTGTAACACTGAACAATACGTAAAAATGTCCTTAAGTTCAGTTGACCAAACTTTACTAATTTTGAGTCGTCGAGTCCGAACATGACCTCTGATTTATTTTTTTGTAAGCCTCTATTTTTGCGCAATAACCCCTTTCATAAAACGTATTTAACAGTGGCGATTTCTGCATGTACGCTAGGGAAGCACCGCTTCCCCTGAGCAATGAGATTTTTTTTTCTTTTTAAGTACACCAATCTTTTAAAAATTGTATTAACAGCAATCAGAAATGCGCTTCGCGGTACGCAGAGTAGCGGGAAGCATAGCCAATCGGCGAGGAGCGAATGATAGACAATGAATCATTCAGCGAGTATATTTTAAACGAATGCGACAACACTGCCTGACGCAGTGGTCACTGCAGCGTACGGGTTCGGGCTCGGGACGGGACATGGAACGCGGTGCCACAAAACGCGTCGCGGGGTGTTGGTAGTGGTATACTCCAGGGCCGGATTAAGGGGGTGGCAACATGGGCCGCGGCCCATGGCGGCAAATCTATAGGGGGCGGCAAATTCTGCAATTTTCTTAAATGTAGGTATAAAAAAATTACGAACCAGAAAAGGCGACAAAATCTCTAATTTTCTAAGAGAATAATAATTTCTACTTTTGTCGGCTCTAAGTGATACAAGAGACAGCACCTTCAATTAGTCGAGCTAAGAGAGAAACCAAACACGCACTTTTGGCCTGGAACGGCGCGACTTATACCTAGAGAGAAATGATGACGAGGACTAGAGTCCCTTTATACCCAGAGTTACGACAACTCACTTTTGGTTGGGCCAGGATTGGGCTGAAAGTGGCCTAAAAAAAAATCCAATTCTGATTGGTTCTCGCTCATGGAGGCCGAAACTAGTGCACCAAGATGGCGGTACCTCGTATGTGAACAAGAATAATGAAAATATTACCTAATTGTGGTTTATCAAGAGTAAATTGTTATTGCCATCGGTCCAAAATGAAAATAGATTAAGAAATTATTCACAAACCAATCTCATTTTCTGTTTAATTGATCAATTTGTTGATGTTGTTGTTTCTGTGTGACAGACATCGCAGGATTCCTGATCCTTATCCCCCAATATCGTTCGTTTGAGTGCACTAGTTTCGGCCTCCATGGCCAGCCAAGGTCGGCTGCCAGTCAGCTGATAATCGAGTTGTCGTTACTCTGGGTATAAAGGGACTCTAACGAGGACTTGAGATGTAAAGGAGAAGCCCTCGGCGCAGCGATCGGCACGTAACACATATCAGCGCCTACAAGACTGCACGAATACTTCACGCATTGCATCAAACACAGTGCGGTCATTGCGGACAGCGTGAAACGGATTGCGCCTACAAGAATGCATGAATACCTCACGCATTGCGGAAAACACAGTGCGATCAGCAAGAGACGCATAGCGCCTACAAAACTGCGTGAATACTTCACGCATTGCGTCAAACACAGTGCGGTCTGCGAGGCGCGGCGGCGGAAGTTAAAATCATTAATCCACTTTTATGTTTGTTCTTTCATAATTTTTTCGTTCATTTCTTATGAATGGAAGGCCTTGTCCACGCAGAGATAGGTTTACGAAACTTAATTTTCGCGCAAAGTTCCGTGAACTTTTGCTAGTAGTGTTGACAGGGCTTTCCCAAAAAATGTGTTCAATACCAGTAAACGCGTCTTATGCACTCCTCCCCCGCTGGCACGTTCATTTGATGGTTTTCATTGATGTTTCAAAACGAACGAGAAGGGGGCGGCAAAATACTAACGGCCCATGGCCGGCAAGTAGGTAAATCCGGCCCTGGTATACTCTCCAAAGGTTTTCAAAGTGACCGACAGCCACTCGGGAAAATGGAGACAACAACAATAACCGAGGATCATCACGTCATTCGATTTGTGTCCTAGTCTTACGAGACGAACAGCGCGTATGCGATAATTCCTTTGCCTCCACTGGAATCGATACCTCTTCTCAGAGAGTCTGTCCGCCGGCCCTGGTAAAAAAGATGACTACCCTGCGACTATACTGCCAATACACATTCTAGTCGTGCGCATATGTAAGAAGTCTGAGTGTAGTCACATGGTTGTCGAGGGTATTCATCGGTAGGCACAGTGTATTCGCAGGGAAGTTGCGAGGTGGTCACCGGTTAGTACTTAGTCACCACGAATGTGTAGGTGCAGAGGAAAAGTGCGCCATGCCTCGGCAGACATGTGACTACATAACTTTGGCTCACTTTGTGCAACTACATATTAACTTCACCTTCACATTTATGCCTCAGACTAACCCTGGTAAAAATTGGCAATAGAATCTGTGTTCCAAAATACCATAGACCTACAGCCGGCTGTAAGATTTCCAATAGCTTCTGTAGCCGGCAGCACAATTTCTTACAGCCTTTTATAGCCGATGGCGACTAAGCAACAGCCTGGCGATAAAGTGTATGCTAAACGTTACTAATTACGGATACTAGGACTTAGTGAGTTTTTGGACTACCGTTCTCTTTTTTGGCAGTAGTATCTCGATTTATTTTGCGAGGAAAGCGCCGTCCTTTTGAAGGATGCCTGCCATTCCTAACATGTTGGAGCGCCTGCAATTTCGTATGATACTGTGCAATACCTCTGGTGTGTAATAGTTGCTTCAAGCGCCGTGGTATGCTGCGGCGCCGCGCGGCGGGCGGGCAGCCAGCGCGGAACGCGCATTGGCGCCTTCAAACCTAACTGGGATACGCATTGCGCAATGCGTGAAGTATCCCTGTCAGGTTTGTAGGCGCCGGTGCGCCGCCGCTCCGCTTTGTGTTATAGGCTCTTATATTTAATCTCGCGGAGTCAGCGTTTTTCAACTCGTGAATTTGAAATGTTTGCACACTCTGTATGGATTATTCTCATTTTAATTGATGAAAAAAAAATATGTGGTAAAGGAAAATATAATGTGCGTTTTGTAAATATTAAGGTGATTCCGTACAAACTTAAGGATTTAAAAAGCACACGAATTTCTACACAATTTCTCATAGCCTTTTTTAGCCGATGGCGAAAAAGCAACAACCAGACGATAAAGTGTAAAGCCCGGCGATAGGAACTATAGCCCGGCTGAATAATTCTTTATCGCTTCGTGTAGCCCGGCCGTATGATTTTTTCCACTTTCTACAGCCAGCTATGTGATTTTCTATCGCCTTCTTCAGTCGGCTATAAGAGCTCCTATGGTATTTTGAAACGCAGCTCCTATCGCCAATTTTTACCAGGGAAGATTTAATGAAGTACAGCATACCGACTGCCAACCGAGCCAGATAGCACCCGATCTTCTGAGAATATTCCGACAGCCGTCCGACATTTTCACCACCTTTCGAATATCCAGAGAATATTCTGAGACTACATCCATGTAGTAAGTCGTCTACATCTACCTCAGTTGTATTTGTGTGACTACACCAGTTGTATTCGTGCCACTACCTGGACGTGTTCCATTCACGTACCCTCCTAGTCACAGGGGTAGTCGTCCTCTTTACCAGCGCCTCCCGTCGAGCTTCGAATCCAAACGGAATCGACTACAATCACTTAGTTAACACGCCTTGCTGATGTGATCATTATTACACTTACCTCATCAACTGTTCAAACACTGCTATCATATCCTGAAGACAGGTGTAAAGCCGAGGCTTTATCCGATGTCCTTCAGTACTTACGGCAAATCAAACTGCCAGCAGGAGGCATCCCTCCTCCTCGGAAATGGGATCTCGGTATACACGAGATTACCTTATGGTGCCTGTCGATACGCAATTACCATTACGCATTATGGAGTTGGCTCCATTCGAATGAATCGATGTGAAACGAGGAACTGGCTACATCTTCATTTTTTCGAAGCCGTCCTTTCATTTCGTTCCAATTGCCACTATCCCACAATGACTTACCCTTTTTTTCTTTTCATTTTCAGCGTCGGGTTTTCCCTGTCACGGGAACATATCATTAACTCCCTGGCGAACAAGGCGACGGGGCAGTGCATCACAAGGCAAAGCCGGCCGGCTGACATGGTTGTCCGGGAGCTAGAACGCGCCCGTTCTTCGGTACCCGCTGCCTATAGCCGATTCTTGGCATAATCAAGAAGGTGCCGAATTCAGCAGAAGTTGCCTGCAGCCACCACTTTAAGCCGGTAAGACCCACTTAACCATCCATCCATCAATTAAAAATTTAATCACAAATTAACAATGTATGGGTCTCCGGCGTTAAAATTAAGCATGCTAGAAAACCAGGAAGTGTGCCTCATGAACATTCGAGATTCTGAGGTGTTGCCATCGGAAAACTTTTTTCATAATGCAGGGATCACAATACGAAAATTTGTGAAGCAAGCTGTAAACACTCGATTGACTCGATAAACATGAAGGAAAAATACTTAATCGTAATTTTCACGCAATGAACGGGTCAGTCCCTTTGTAGAGGGAGGACAAATTAAATGAAAATAACCTTACCTTATGTCCTTATTTTTTTGTATTCAGGTACCTACAGTGAAAAAGAAATCTATAATTTCCAGCCAAAAAAAACTTCAGCCACCCATTTGCTGTGGGAACACAGTGGACGAAAGAGAAAAAGTGAAAAACTTGAAACTCTCCCTTAACTCCAGCCTCAGAAGGAAGCTACTTAATTTAGCAGTGACGCGCCTTCATTTCCGTGTGACACCTCTCGCGTTACCGCGAAGTTAATTTAGTTGCGTGACCTAATCTAACCTGACGCGAGTCTTTCCTGTTGCAGTGCCGCGCCTTTGCGACAAATTTGAATCGAATCGGGATCCTTATTAAGCCGGCTCCAGACTACGCGGCATTCGCCGAATATTACTCGCCGAATACCGAATATTTGGCAAGTCCCGCGTAGTCTGGATGGAACATTCGCGTCTACTTGGCTCGTGTTGACACGAGGCGAGTCACTCGGCTCGGTATTCGCCCCAACCCGCTAAAAGTCGGTTTTTGTGACACGAGTCAAAGGGATGGCGAGCACGAAGCCGAGCGTCCATCGCGACATCGGGGCAACATCGGGGTGCCATCCAGACTACTCGCCCTCACTCGCCGAATGTTCGCTATAGTTTTGTAGGAAGGGGGCGAAGAGGTGCAGCGTTTTCCAGTGTATTTTCTTCACTTGGCGAACATTTGTCCTTTCCCATCAGAAATTCGTCATTTGCCAAATGACGAGCCAAGTACGACTTTTACGAGTAGTGTGGCGCTGTACACTCGTGAAAACACTGGAATCTGCCCGTCGCTTCCCGAACCCCGAATATTCGTTACTCGGCTCGGTACTCGGCGAATGCCGCGTAGTCTGGAGCCGGCTTTTAATCAAGTGCATTGATACCGGCAGTAAACAAACACGATACCTAACATATTCTGATACATTATTAGTGATTTCTTTTTTCGATTTTCTATTAAGGGCGAAAGTAATACGTCTTGTATATCAATCCAATAATAGGCACTCATTACAGCCGTGAATCTAGCTCATCGATAGCTAATGTTGAAAAATGCGTACCTTTATTGCAACATCTACAGATATCTACTTATTCTTCTTTCTTTCTTTGAGACGAGACTAACCAAGATTCCTGTGTGCGCGTGATCACTACAGCAGTGAAAAATCACTGTGGTTTTCAAATTATAAAGCAGCCGTTTGTTTTTTCACGGAAGTTTTGCCTAGAATGCTGCTGAGGATATGATATTGAGAAGAGAAGTTTTAAATCCCGGAGTTATGCAGCTCCAACAGTGACGGCGCCAATAACATAAAAAGCTTCAACTCTATATGGATCGCTTTTCGCAAAAAGGGACCAAAAGAATTGCGATGTTGCTAAGATTGTACAAATTCATCATTTGCGATTAAATTACGAAAAGCATGCAAAAATATGAAATTTACATGATAAGATTAGTCTTTTTACAATTTTTAGGGTGCAAATCAGAAACTGCTTATAAATGATCAGGTTTTTCTTCCAAGACAAAAGAAGTTGCGCAATATTAGCAACATATCAATGCTATTGGTTCCTTTGTGAAAAATGCAATCCATATTATGCCCTCTTCCCCTCGGCGCCTATCTGCTGTACTCCTTGAAATTCTCTGTGAATATATTCAAATTAGAGGGGCAAATTCCAAGAAAAACTGTTGGTTGGTTTCCTTTTATAAAAATAAAACATGAATGTAGATTTGCAACGTCGAAATCGAAGTTGCGCATTTATCGACTTTAGCCATCGATCTGCTGTTCGTGCACAATGAACCAACGAGAATAGGAAGGAAACTTGAAATCATCCGTCATTTGCAGTTTCAGAAGGAAGCTACTCGATTTAGCAGTGACGCGCCTTCATTTCCGTATGAAACCTCCCGCGTTACCGCGAAGTTAATTTAGTTGCGTGACCTAATCTAACCCAACTTGAGTCTTCTGTGGTAGTTCCGCGCCTTTGCGACGGATTTGAATCGGATTGGATCATTAGTAAAGTGGATCAATCCCGGCAGTAAACAAACATCAAGATACCAAACATATTTTTTACCGATTCCTTTTGCGATTTTTTATCAAGAGCGAACATTTTACGTTATAAATCGTATAGAAGCATTATCAAAAATCAGCTCCCTGGTAAAAATTGGCGATAGGAGCTGCGTTTCAAAATACTATAGGAGTTCTTATAGCCGACTGAAGAAGGCGATAGAAAATCATATAGCTGGCTGTAGAAGGTGGGAAAAATCCTACGGCCGGGCTATACGAAGCGATACAAAATTAAACAGCCGGGCTACAGTTCCTATCGCCGGGCTTTACACTTTATCGCCTGACTGTTGCTTTTTCGCCATCGGCTATAAAAGGCTATAAGAAATTGTGCAGAAATTCGTGTGCTTTGTAAATCCGCAAGTTTGCACGGAATCACCATAATATTTATAAAACGCATGTCATATTTTCCTTTACTACATATTTATTTTCATCAATTAAAATGAGAATAATCCATACAGAGTGTGCAAACATTTCAAAGTCATGAGTTGAACAACGCTGACTCCACGAGATTAAATATTAGAGCCTAACACAAAGCGGTGCGGCGGCGCACTGGCGCCTACAAACCTAACAGGGATACTTCACACATTGCGCAATGCGTGGAGTATCCCTGTTAGGTTTGTAGGCGCCAATGCGCGTTTTGCGCTGCTGGCTGTCCGCGCGCCGCGCCGCAGCGTACCACGGCGCTTGAAGCAACTATTTCACACTAGAGGTATTGCACAGTATCGCACGAAATTGAAGGCGCTCCAACATATTAGGAATGGCAGGCATCCTTCAAAAGTACGGAGCTTTCCTCGCAAAATAAATCAAGATACTGCGGCCCAAAAAGAGAGCGGTAGTCCAAAAACTCACTAAGTCATAGCATCCGTAACTAGTAACGGATAGCATACACTTTATCGTCAGGCGGTTAATCGCCATCGGCTATAAAAGTCCATAAGAAATTGTGCTGCCGGCTATAGAAGCTATTGGAAATCTTACAGTCGGCTGTAGGTCTATGGTATTTTGGAACACAGATTCTATTGCCAATTTTTACCAGGGCTTGACGACATTTCACATTTCCTAATTTTTTCAACGTTTAATTCTTTTAATTATTATTATCATTATTTTTTTTTTTCAACTTTTTTTAATAGATAACCAATTAACTCGACGGCATAAAGAATTAATACACTCACAAACTTTGTATTTCGTTGTATTGTGTTGAAATAAACACATTTTGAGAGGGAAATCATGTATATCGACGGCCTAAGTCTGCACACATCGACGGCCTAACTCTATCACATATCTCGTTTGCGGTGTCTAAAAATCTCCGCCTCTATGTTATTTTTTAAAGAAGAACAAATTGACATCATTCCTTGAAGTTTATGCAGAATACTCTTCGCACAGAGAAGAAAAACCACGGCAATTTTAAAGAATTACCGTTGAGTAGTTTTCCGTTTAAAAAATAAAGTATGACAGGAAGTCTGCGACGTCGCAAACCGAGTTATGTGATTACCGACTTACACCGTCGATATAGTCTGATTTCGTTGGGTTCGTTTACCGCTTTTGGATGGTGAATTTTTTCTTCTTCTTCCTCTTCTTTTTTTTTTTATTAAGTACCCGTTTTTTATTTTTTATTTTTATTAAAATTTAAACAAACCCATGCAAGAGCCTATCACAAATAATGTGAACCAAAATAATTGCCGTATTGCTATAGATTGCTGTGTTATCACAAGTTCGGCTTTTTCATTCAATTTTTCCAAAAGTATAAAATTCAATGAAAAAAAGTAAGAACTTACGAATAGTTTCGCTAGAGAATTTTTCAGCATATTTGTATCCACATAGTAGAGGAAAACTCATATCTTGCGAATCATATCCGGTCGGACCTCGCGTATGCAAAATTTTGTGTAGGTAAATTCCTCATTTCTTAGACGAAAGACCCTAACTCTATGCCACCCACCGTTGCAAAATTCTCTTAAAAAATGCATATTTTTTCCAGTAAACACACGAGTGTGAGAAATCCGACCAAAAGTTTGTTGTTAGTTTCGTATAATCAAAGGAGTAATCCATGAAAGTTCCAGTTGAAATTGCCGCACGGTCTCCTCAAAGCACAACATACGGATGGAAACTTTGCAACATTGAAAAGTTGTTACGTTCTTTCTTGACCCGTCGACACGCGTAAGCAGCTTTATGAACTCTATAAAATTTATGACAGTATTTTATGTGCGTCCTGAAGAAAAGACCGGCCAGTTCTGTGCGAGGTGACTTCGCACACACACTGCAAGGTCGGGGTGATAAACGAGCTTGCCAAAATGCCAACTGTTGGTGTCACCCAATTCACGGTTCGGGAGATCCTCCGTTTTGTTTACATCGTCTGTTTCGCCTGGAAGTAGCAGCGGCGGAGAAGGAGCCCGATAACGAAGAGTGGAACGAAGGGGACGGGGAAAGATGAATCGATACAACGCGGCCGACGCGCTGCAGCAAAAGACCCACGCGGGGGGAGGGCATCTCGTCTCTGCCGAGAAAGCTCCCCTCCACAAGTCCCCTTCACACCATCAACCCGGCGCGGGTAACCGGTCCCCGCGCATGCGCAGAAGCCACTACGCATGCGCCGTCGTCGTCGGATGCCCGGTGTGCGAGGGGCTTGAGCGCGCATCGAGCGGGAGAAAGGGGCCCATCTGTCGCTCGGCAGTTGCCCGCGAGACCTGTGCGCGCGCGGAACTATGTTGGATCTCAACGAGAGGATGGCCGAGTTGAAGTTCGAAGCACCCCTGGCCCAATTCGAGGAAACGGAGGACTGGGGCGCGGATTTCCGGTTCAAGTCGGCCAACCTGGACAACTTCAAGCAGAAGCAGGACGAAGTGAAGAACATCAACAACCTCAAGAACACGAGCTTGCAGTCCCCGAAACGCGTGTGTGATAACGATAACGAGAACGATAACGCGGTGCAGTGCGAGTTGGATAACGTCAAGGGTGATACCACCCTCCCCGAGGCCTCCGTGTCCTCGGTGGCGGATAATTTCACGGAGACCTTCTCGGGGTCGCTCGAGGATTTAGTCAATACGTTCGATGAGAAAATTACCAAGTGTTTTTGCAACTATGACGAGTCCGTCGAGAAGTTGGCGCCGGTGCAGGTCCGCACGCAGGAAGAAATCATGAGCGAATGCCAGTAAGTTGATCTTTTCTTCTGGTGGTCTTAGCTGCGGCTTTGTAAAAGGGACATCGCTTTCTCACGGAAATTTTAGAGTGATCGTGATAATTTCCTTATTGTTTTCGAGGAAAGAATTAAATTGCTGTTTTAACAATTCAATGGCTAAAAAAAGTGACCACTATGTTTCAATGTAGATTTTACAACAAAAAAATTTTATTTTAACCACCCTCGTGGTTAAATTAGCTTACAATAGTGGTTAAAGTAGCATTTTTTTGTTGTAAAATCTGCCTTGAAACGTTCCAGTCACTTTTTTCAGCAATTGAATTGTTAAATCAGAAATTTAATTTTTTTCCGTGTTACTTTGTTGCATTTATGATTCAAGGGCGAAACCACATAATCTCCATTGCAGTACTTTCAAATTTCAGCTCCCTTTTTTTTTTTTTTTTTTTTTTTTTTTTTTTTTTTTTTTTTTTCCAAGGAGAAACAAGCCAGTTTCATACCGTGTACTTTACATAAAATATTTGTCTAACAGAGAGGAAAATCAAGGAAGTTTTCAAGAAGATATGTCAACTAGTTTTCCCCGGAAAAATAAAATATGACAGAAAGTTTGCAACGTCGCCAACGGAGATGCGTGGTCTCGAACTGTAGCCATCGATATTTACATTACTTAAAAATCAAAGTGACTTGAACAGAAAGGCAAAAGTAGCTGTCAAAATCGTCAGGTGGGGTTGAATTTTCTTGCTGAAAAATATATTTTTAGCCGAAAAAGACTGTAGCTGTAGATCTGCTATTGGTACTTGCACAGTGAACGAAAGAGAAGAGAAGGGAAACTTAAAACTCCGATAATTGCAGCTTCAGAATAAGGAAGCTGCCAGATTTAGCAGTGATGCGCCTTCATTTCCGTATGACACCTCTCGCATTGCCGAGAAGTTGTTTTAGTTGCGTGACCTAATCTAACCTAACTCCAGTCCTTTGTGGAAGCTCCGCGCCTTTGCGACGGATTTGAATCGGATTGGGATCATTATCAAAGTGAATCAATACCGGTAGTGATAAAAAATCTAGATACCGAACATATTCTGCTGGTTTGATTTTCTACAGTGGAAGATCTGTAGACAACACAAAACACAAATCCTCCATCAGATAAATATCGCTGCACTAAGTACGAATTTTTGCCTACCTCAACATCCGAAGACGAAACACCAACGTGCGTAACCTTCGTAACGCCGTAACGCACCCGCGTCTAATCGAGGTTCCTCCTAATTTTTCAGTCTTCAATCGCCACCGTTTCTGGTTTTGTTGAAGCGTTCGGAGGCCCAGGTGAAAATGTTTAGCCGTTGACCAATATCTAAATGAAGTTGATACTAATTATGATTAACTCAGACTAAACGGATTACCAGATGGGAAAATATAACTAGTGGGATAAATGTACCCTAAGTTAGATTTGTTTATTCTACCTTATTTTGCGCAAAAAAAAACACCTACCAATTGATATCAGTTGACGGAAATTTTAAACTTGATTAATTGCTATCGACTTCTTTAGTGTCCAGCAAATGCATTGAAAAAAACTCCGGCCGTGAGAGCCGTGTTTACGGGTTGTAAAGATATACCGTCCGCGTTCCGGGCTTAGAGGCCGAACGTTCCGGGCGGGCGTAGCACCCGGAGCAATCGAAGCTACGGTTCCAGCACCCGGAAATTGCGGCCTCTGAACCCGGAACGGACGGTACGTCTATACAATCTGTAACTTTTTTTCAGTGTGTTCATTTTTATCAGAGGCAGGAGTTATTACTTCATGCAACTTTTGGGGAAACTATTATAGTCTGTAGCGAAACGAATTCGAAAACGGAATCTCGTTTTGTGAATACATTTTCCGCGAGACAGATAATTCGAACAGGAAGCGCTCGGAAACATAGCGACAACGCAAGAGAGCCGCCGAAACACGCGCTACGATTATAATTGGTGTTCCAGATTTTTACTCGTTTGTTTATCTATCTGAAAAAGCAACAAACATTATCCACGAACGCGATTTTGGAAGGCTTGAGATTCGTCCCTCACTTCCCATTTCACTACGTTAAAAAGTTCATTCACTCCAAACCAATCATTTTATTTTTCCTCTCATAAGAAAAACAACGATCTCGAACTTAAGTAAAAAAAAAACAAAAAAAAAACAAAACATACACACACAGGCGAATCCAGCAATTTGACAACACCGAATTTCCTCCATTTAAACCCATGTTAAATAAATCGATTCTTGCCGGAGCACCTGGCCCCTCCGGGAATCGATACATTTCAATGGGTTTAAATTGAGAATAAACAATGTTGCCAATTTGTAGGAGCCGTCAATGAAAAAAAAAAAAAGATGAGGCCATTACTCATGTTTGTATGCAAAGATTCGAAGTATGAAGAGGTCCGGTGAAGTTTTTAAAAAAAACTATGTAGGTGGACCTCTACAGTGTCTCCCTCAATTTCTGCCGGTATTAGGTGCTTGCCAACATAAATCTCCAAAATGTCCAGCTAATTATGACCGTCCCGCGGTAGGTGGTAGTTGTATTCACTCAGTTGCGAGTTTGTTGGACATTAAATCGTTTCCAACCATTCCATCATTTTCAAGATAAAACTAAAACGAAATACGGTAGAAGTAGCAACAGTGTTGATATTTTATCATAATGCGTTAAAGCTCCCTCCCCCGTCCCCCAACGGTCTTTTCAGGAAGGCTAATGATTTAATCCATGACGAGTATAGCATAGCCACGCTCGTTTGAACTGTAACCTGGGAGACCGGGAACATGTGATCATATTATGCTGAAAGGAACTATGTCTCACACAAACCTCGTGCACATAGTTCATTTTAGCATAAATACGTCCATTTGAGCGACCGTATTGCGTAGTCGCGATCTGAAATGAAAGTTGTCAACTTTCACGCCCGGCTTGTTGGAGCTGGTTTGACAGAATTATGCTATATACTGTCATGCTAAGGAAGAACGCCGTATAAACATTCGAGAGTTGCCAAATTGCCCCGGATAAAACATGTATTTTTGAGAAAGATTATATGCATTTTTCCTTGAAATTTGCAGACATTTTAGACAAAATTGCGAACAAAATTGTCTGAAAAAATTGAAGAAAAACATTCCCAATTTTCCCAGTAAATTAGGTTTTTATTGAAGGAAATATGGCAATATCTGAAGGTTCATACGGCGTTCTTCCTTAGCACGGCAGTATAGGAAGGCTGCATTTCATGCCCGTTCAAAACAAGCGAAAATCACCCATCTACCCGAAGAAGGGTCAGGTTCTTTAAAATGTAAATTGTTCTTGGTGATTTTGAAAAATAATCACTCTGCCTACTGGTTTAGTGAATTGTATGCAAATGGACGGAAAATTGAGAAATCACACGTGGTTAAGGGGAGTCGGGAGTTCCTATGTTATAGCCCATGTTTTTTTGTCCAACTTCAATTTTCTTTTTCTCAGAGCCTACGGGGTCTTTTTTCATCCGGTTTATTTTTTTTTTTGGATTTCTGACACCTTCAAAATGAATTTAACGCGGGGGGTTTCCAAAATTTTGAAAATTCAAATTTTCATGACTTCTTTAAATTTGGTAATAATTTTTTTCAAAAATATTGACGTTTAAGTCTCCTCAAAATTTTAAAAATCATTTTACCAATAAAAGCCTGTTTTACAGCGTACAGAAGAGCCCGAGGAATCAAACAAACCAAGTTTTCGAGGAAAGGCTCGAACCTGAGAAAAAGTACATTTTTTTTTGAAAATCACTAACTTATGGAAAATTTGATTAGAATTTTTGGTAGGAAAACAGTTGATAGCCGATTTTAATGGTGATACGCCTTGACCTTCACTTCCTCCAAAGCTCCTCCCGCTCGAACCAGTTTTTAGAAATAAGTGTTTTTAGTCTTGTTTTGCTCGTGAGGATATGCAAAAAAAAATGAGCCCAAGAAAACAAATTCTCCATTGTTTTCAAAAAGTCATGTCAGGCACCAAGTTAAAATCATCAATCAGCGAGTGACTCAAGCGAAAGACTTTCCTTATCGTTCTTATGGCAATAGTGCAGCCGCACTGGCTGGAACCCACGCGCGTTTGCGACGGTTCATCGCTAAGTGCTAATTTTTCCGTGTCAATATTTACCATACCGAATCGTTTGGAATGAATAATTCGCGCGCGGTGTTAAAATTTGCGGGGCTCGAATGCGAAAAACATGACGCGTCCAGAGACTGTTACGTGTGTTGTGGGTCGAGAGACCAATAACCTCTCTTGAATGCCCACGTTTTCAAACAGGCAGGTTGAGAATAGCGGAGAAGGTGTAGCGTAGCTCTTGTGTGCAAAAAAGTGACCACATCTGACGTATACACGCGCAAATTGAAAGTGGAGAAAATCATAAAGAGAAGCTTTTTCCCTTTCGATATATTCTTAGGAAGGGTTGTTGGTGGACTTAGTCTGGCGTAACGACTTTGTAAACTTCGATTTCATAGACAAGACCTTTACTTGTACCTTTTTACAACCTGTCGTAGGAGAGTGCCTTGCCCTTGAGACCTCGGGACCCTCGGCGCTCGAGTATTCAAAACCAGAGGCGGATCCATCAATTTGGCAACACCGGATTTCCCCCCATTTAAACCTATGCTTAATAATCGATTCTTGTCGGAGCACCTGGCCCCTCTAAGAATCGATACATTTTCATAGGTTTAAATGGAGAAAAACAATGCTGCCAATTTGCTGGAGCCGCCAGTGTTCAAAACACCGTAACTGCTAGGCAGTGGTATTGATTTGCGTATAAAATTCACTGAAGAAACTCAATATAAAAATTATGTCTAATCCCAATAAAGTCTCGATGATGCAAAGTCACACGTGGAAGTTTTAGGAGCTCTTAATTTTTTAATTTTTTTTGCATATTTGCGTATTCTTCTACCTTATAGGAGTTTAAAATAGTGACATCACGAAGCTTTTAACAGTGCTTTCAGTAGGTGCTTGCAGGGCCGGATTAAGGGGGTAGTCACATGGGCCGCGGCCCATGGCGGC